CTTATTTGTGACCTAAATGAATCAGACCGCAAATAACCTAGAAGGAATAAATGTTGGCGTAGCAACCCTATTTGCATAAGGCTAGGAAACTGATTTCGATGGAAATTTAAATCACTTTTCTCTTGAATTAAGCGAAGTCGACGCAAAGTCGAAATTAATTTCCTAGTGGTTTTAAGCGAGTTTAAATTCGTCTCACCTCACCCACTTTACATATTCACACTGAACTTAAAAAACTCAACTGCGCTTGTAGTGCCTTAATGGTCCCACTTAATATCAGAAAAGAACATTTGTAATTTTATCAGTTACACTTACATGTTTCATTCGATTCAGTACATGAACGGGAAAGACACAACGTGTTTATGACTCGCCCAGTACTGAATCTAAATTTAAGCCTGCAAAGGGTTCCACAGCTTATCAAAAAAATCTACAACGTTCAGTCAGCACGTTGCACAAGTTGATGTATTCTAAAATGGGACTTACGATAAAAGGCTCCAACCGTAACAAAAGGGTTGCATCTGCATTTGTGATTGGTTACCATTAAATTCTGTTAAGCGCTATGATTTCGTAATCGCTATTCAACATTTAGTGGTTTCTTTTATTTAATACTTTTTGACATACTAGACAGACACGTCTCTTAGAGCTAGGAACCAAGCAGTAGTTAAAATTGGTTGATTATAACTACATGCGAGAAAGACAACTATCTATCTCACAAACGAATCGGAGATATCGAATTGATCCCATTCGTCACATCTTGATAAATTAAAGGGACGATGTCGATGTGTGATGGATACAACAAGAATTCAAAAAGCCAACGCAATTCTTCATCCAGTTGATTTTAATGCGTTGGTTTGCTTTTTTAGACGTGTGCATGGATGAATATGGTGGACAGATTAGTCGTTATGTTCCGTGGCTTAAATACGAAGAAATGTGATTCAAGGAGCTGTAGTGGGAAATAGACGATTGGAAGATAAAAAGGTTAACTGTGGTCAAGATACGAAAACGTTCCAATCGTGATTTTACAGCGTCCATTAAGTTATCACTTCTCAAAATTCGGTTCAGTGCAGCATAGTAAAAAGCTTAGGTCTGGAAGGCTCGTTCTTACTGAAATCAGGCCATGAGATTCTTGATGCAACACCGATGTGCCTCTCAATAAAAATGTTACTGAGTTTACGGTAAATGAGTTTGACGATGCGAGACTCGTATATTCACGAGGTAAGCAATTCGGTGCTCTCGAAGGTGGTTTATTGGCTCTTGCAAAAATGATGTGGAAGAAAGGTTATAGCTGCTGGTGTGATATTGAGGCGAGTAAGCACATACAGCAAATGCATTCAGTTATGGTTCATGGCACCATCTGATTTCAAAAGTTACAGGAAAAACTGAATTACAGGCAGTAGGTAAAGCTAATTTTTCAGTGTGCGTAGGTCAACTTACATGACACTCTTTGTGTTGCTGCAAACAAGCGGGAAAGTATTATTACACCAATTCAGACGTTAAAACAGGGCTTAAAGAATGTGAGGTTAATGAAATGTTCTAGTACTGTATGCGCGCCGACATTTTGTGGCAAGCAACATTTTAAATATATCAGTAAATAATGAAACCCCCTCAAAAGTCAGTTCAACTAAGTTCCCATTTATAAAATCATTTAAATCTGCTTTATTTGCATATCAATTAGCTTAAAATTGCTAAAGAAGAACTTAATCAATTTAAAGGCGACTTAAAAATAACATATACATCGTAGTGAAAAGTGCAACTACTTTTGAATTGAATATTAAATTTAGTTCCTTAACAAATTTTAAATAATATGATGCTTGTTCGTTTTTTAAAAGGTAAGAGATATTTAAGAAAATAATTTAAAATACACACATCAACTTAGCATCATTACATTGATCATAATGACACGATTGCTCAAATTATCTAATTTCCTGAATATATGTGTAAATAAAAAAAATATTCTGACTCGCAAAACATAACTGAATTAGAATTCATTAAACGGCGGTGTCAATGACCACGTCAGTTGTAAAAAAATGAGAACTGATAACCGATAAGAAAACCACAAGAGCATTTTGACTTGATCGATATTCAGTTATTGTGCTTAAAAAAGCTAAAGGTGATATGGAAAGAAATATACATGGGCAGGAAAGGCATCCTAGAAACCTAGAAACACCGTATAAACCTAGAATGTGTGAAATAAGCTTTGGGAAATTCTTATCCAGAGAAGCTTTCAAACGACGTTTGAAATTTTTTTAACGCCCAGATGGTGCCTACGGCTAGGCAGCTTTGAACACTCATGCATTTAAAACAGCAATTAAAATTCTATGAAATGCTAATAATGTCAAAAATATCTTGAATGAATCTTAGATTATGAAACAGGAATTAAGATCACGCGTATACTGCTAAGGTATTTTTGTTTCTTATCTAACACGGTGAATTCAGACATAAGCGTAAGCAAAGTGAACATAAAATGTTAAAACACAAAGCTTCTTATTAACTTAAGGATAACAATCAGCAACTAAGCAAAATCAGATGTAATTTACTACAACAGCCCAGTTTGTTTAATATCTTAAACAATAAATAAATTTAACTTAAATTAGTTAGGCAGACCCATAAAATTAAAGGCGAAACCCTAATGCGAGTAAATTTATGTCGTGTTCGAGAAACGAAAGATTAAGACCAAGAATTAATTTTGTTGCTTTGAATGACTTGCGTAACATCTACCGAAGTATCCTTCATTCGGATTGGTGCATCATTTTGCGCATCTTTGTATTTGCTATTGGTGGTATCTCACGAGGTGGTCGATTCTAGTCGGTGGTATTGACTGCGATCAGATCTAAATAGGAAATGAGTATATATTAAAAAGTATGGCGAAACCCAGTGGCACAGAGGTTCTTTTAAAGCCGGCGAGCGCTGCTCGGTATGACAGTCTCGAAATTCCTGGACTTCTTAAACATGGGTAGTTTTACTATTCTGAAAGTAACAAATAGTCGTGTGTCGTTAATGCGAGAATTATTTCAATGTGGCAAGCCTCTACCTATTGAGGATTTATGTGTCGAAAACGAGGCCGATGAAAATAATGCGGTCTCTGTGTAAGTTTCATCAAATATTCCCACTGTCCGAGTATCTCTTCACTTTGTACCCATTTAAACATAGCATAGTGATTTACTCTTTGGTGGTTTACCTCCAAGATATATTCTACTTAATAATAACCATTGTTGGTAATGCCTAGATTCAGCCTCTCTCGTTTTCGCTTTGGTGTTGTTAGTATTATGACCTACTTTTTTTTACCAAATTCTAAGTCGCTAATCTTGTTTAATTAAATTTTATTTAGGCTTCCTCAAAGGGATCAGACTCCGTCATTTCTCATGGATTTAAAAGGTGAATGTGCAGTACAAAGGCGGCTTTTAAAGCAACTAACAAGAGCCAGTGAGTCTAACAGCGAAACGGATGATGAAGACGCACCTTCCATGAAAGATCTAGCTGCTTCCCTTGTCAAACAACTAAACAGGTGCCTAGTTTGCATTTAACTTGCAAATTGTTTCATATTAAATTATTCCCATTCTGCCTCCCACTGGACACTTTGGAAGATAGTCATCATCCTTTTCACATGGAAGATCACTTGCGAAAATTGCGTATTTATTGCCACTTAAAGTTTTGGTATCTTCATTGCTATCTAGTTCCACCGCGAAACCGATCTCGTAAAGACTGATTTACGACACACTATCCCCTGAAATTACAGCAACATTGAAAAAGTTCTATTCATGATTTATTCTGGTGTTGTGATTTCCTCTCGTCTTTCCGAAACTCTTTTCTTCGACTCTTTACATTCTTCACCATTTAAGCAGCTGTTTTTGAGTAAAAGTTAAATATGTCTAAATATTATTAATTTTGGTTTCACCATGTAACTTGTGTGGCATTTATTAATGCCTTCATATGCAGAATATGATGATCACGTGATAAAGAAGTTTAGCTAAGTATTTTGAACCTTGGTAGACGTATTAGACCTTTATTGCTGGTTACCCTCGGCTATTACACAAAGGGAACCACTAACTACCCCTTCTTTTCGTTCACGCTGTGTCATGAAATAATCATATAAACTGTTATACGTACTTATTTAATTTACTCGAAATGCTGATTTCTAGAATCGGTTAACTGGTTGATCGCGTAAACTGCGATTTACAGGATTGGCATGAAAATAATATCCACCTAGACCCTACTGCGCCTACTATGCCATCTTGGTAGATATTTAGCATCAAGGACTAAATACACTTGAGAGTTGGAATGTAAATTTGACTACCTATATGAATTTTCTCATATTGCGTCAATTTCACGCGGTGAAGTTTTCCGACGCGCTCACAATCACACGTGAACGGTACTGACACTTATTCAACACCGACTTCAACCTCCGATACGCCTCCTATTCCGTCAAAATCTGCGAAATCTTCGCCTCCGCTTCATGTTTCATCCACCGCTGATGGTAAGGCGCTCACCTGCGCTCTTATTTAGCCCCCTTGACTTATCAGTTGAGGCGTCCTTTTTTATAAGCACATTGCTAATCCTTTTCATTGCGCTTATTTGGGCCAAAAAGGCTGTCAATTCTATTTTTAATTATGGCTTTTATCAGGGGCCTGTTCTTTACTTATCAATAATCACCCATCATTGCGAACTTCCTATGGCTTCTGTACTCGACACCACACATCTAGCGACTGACAGCATGTATTTTTCGGGCTAAGTTGTGCGTTCAACACGCATGGGACACCAGCCCTGTTCGCCATTTGGACACCTCGTGCCAAAGCCATGATACGTCTAGTTGTTAGCTAATTTACTCACAAAATGTTTTTTCTTGGAAAGGTTGTGTCTGATTTAAGAAACCGTTTTAAGCTTTCTGCGTAGTTACGTCGTTAAGTTACCCGTGTGCCCATTGCTCTACGTGTACTCGGGTTTCGAGGCGACCTTTGGTGTGATTTTGTAGCTGTTTTGATTTTCTTACCTTTTCTATGTTAGGGTCGGAAAAGATGGAGGAAGACAACGAAAAAGTGCCTGCGCATGAATGGTTAGTTTTTATTGGGCTTACACATTCCATTCCCTTACCGCCCATTATCTCGTGGTAACCTTGGTACGTTTTCTTTTCTGTGGGTCTTGGTATCTTTACTTCGAATGCTTTGCTCCCTAGCGGTTTTTCTAACACTACCTGTTTGATTTGTCGCACTCAGTTGTACCATGTGCACATTCATCGGAATAAAAATTAGCCGTTGTTAAAGTGATGCTATAGCATCGGAAGTGCGTCACTTTGAAATCGCAGGTCCATCGGTTGCCCACACTAAACACTGCAGGTTCGCGCTATTGGTTCTCGAAGCATCTCCGCCTACCTCTTTTACACCAGTTTCGTAATTTCTCATTTCACCTAACTTTGCACATTACTAAATCGTTTCTAATTTCTCACAGTGAGCCATCCAAACCGTCATCGTCAGAAGACACTTCAACAGGCTTTAACAAACCTCAGGTAAACCTTTGTTTTTGATTACTCACCAGACTATTTGTTCCGCTCACCAACCAACCAATGTGTCTAACACTAAATGAAGGTTGTTTGAAAAAAGGAGTAGCAGTTTCTCATTACCTTTGCTTCGGTATTGGAGTTCAGTACTCCCCTTCTGTCATAACGACTGTCTTCATTGTACCAGTGTTGAAACGTGTCAGATACTGACAGGCAGGTGCTTACAGCCTTAATTTACTGTTCCAGACCGTAATGTACCATTTATAAGTCCTTGTTTTAATTTACATATGCTAACGGTATTCTGCCCAGCCATCTTTGGACTTGGATAATTAAATATTCTGCTTTTGTTAATGTTGAAGCAGTGTCGTGAGACGTATTTACTACACTAAATCGAACTTTACCGTCTTCGCCAATTATGAAGGCAGTTCTGCGATTTTAACTGTAATCACGAACCCTGTAGCAGCGTTTAACTGCGAACACTCGAGTTTGACAACATGCAGGTATCCGTTGTGTGTGATGCCGAGGTTCGATTCTTGACCTGACCGATTATCGGAGGTTAGTCTTTACGCTTGATTAAAGCTATAATCCTGGCGCATGCGGTTACCTTACCGATTAGCACAAAAGTGCTACAATGTCTTTATCACAGGTTTTTAATGGCTATCGATTTCCCTCGTAAGCTACACTTTTGGATTGTAGGAGCATTTGATAATGCATCATACACCCATATCCACCATACTTTGGCAATTTCCATTACCCTACACGCCACCATTAATGCTGCATTACTTTTACTACCTTTACCGCCAAAGTCGTAATATTTCCACTACCACTGGATTTAATCTCGCCTCTAGGGCTTTATTGTTCCCCCAGAAGACTTCCGTGTCACTTCGTCATCTCCACTGCCAATTCTGAAGCCTTCACGGGTCGAGGAACTTGCCGTGTCAGGAGAGGACTCAGAATCTACTTTAGAGGGCACCCCCTTGCGCGAACCGATGCTGCGAGATGTTGACGGTGTTGACGAAGCTCTTGCTAACAACGAGGCAAGGGAAAGTGAATATGGATCAGAGGATGTGGAGGAGGAAGATGAGGAAAGCGGCGAAGATACGGCTGATTGGGATCCTATCGACGAGGACACCGGAAATGAAAAGATTTCCAAATTCGCACTTCCTTCCCACTTACGGCCTGTCGCTGGTATGCATGGCTACTTCGTTTCAGGCCCTTGATTTACAGTCATCAATTTAGCCCCTTAGATTCCATGTTAGACAGGCCGTAAAGAGATGCCCAGCCGCTCATGAAAATGTTTTGACTGTCTGCTCCGTGTGGTATTATGATTCCTTACTAGCAGCACTGTGGCTTGTCATGACGAACCGTAACTCTCTCTCTCGTCCAAATCAGCTTATTTTGCAAATCGACATCCATTTCTGGCCATCGTGTTTTCTAGAGACGGCGTTTTGCTTTATAAGGTTTGAGGAAACGATCCAACAATCTAGTAGTATTCCCGATGCAACATAGCTTTGATTTTATCCAGTCGAGTTTGCTTCCTTTCGAATACGGTTCCTGTTGCTTCCATTTAAGAATACCTATAAACTCGTTTCGGGTTGGTTTGTGTTACTCTCTTATCTTTTTTGTGCCTATGGTGTTTGTATTCATGTTTTCTTTTTCCGAAGCAAACCGTATTTATTCCGAGGGCCCTGGCACTTTGGCATCATTTTGGAGTGCCCACCACAACGCTTAGGGGAACATGGCGTAATTCTAACCAATAATCGTCATTTTTTAATCGGATTAGCCATGGCTTTTTGTACATTTTTGACCCGTTATTATGCGTTTTCCTTTACCGCGTATTTTGTCGTCCTAAGCTGCAAGCTTTTACCGCAATCTGCATGTTTTCAGGGGTTGCACCAGTGTCAATTATTAATGCAGATCTAATGACACAGGAGGAATCCGTGTATCGAAAAGTTCCGGAACACCGCGGTATCGGTTACCACCGTTGGAATTTTCAATCGAGCCTTTTGAAAATACCCCACTTTTGTGCCTTATCAACCCCTAAAAATGCTTCGGTCCAGATTTCTCCAGTTCGTCCATTTTTAAGGGATAAAGTTGTCTTGGTAAATCAGGTCACCCCTCTCCCCTTCGGGTGCGGTCGACGTTTCAGACATTCGCTCAGCCACCTAACTCCGGGTTCGCGCATTATTTTGGGCCAAATTTATTGTCTTTCACCTTGGCGTTTTCCCTAGCATTCATCGGCGCTTTTGTCTTCTGGCCTAAGATATCCACTGTAATTCCGATTCGCATGGGGTTACCAACTTCGATTGCCATGTAAAAACTTATTTGACTGGGGATTTTATAACTGCTTAGTTTATCAATTTGGCATCCCAACATCAAGCGTTTGTTCGATTACCGCATTACGCGGAGACACCTTAGAAAATTTCCACATTATTAAGAAGGCAGTAAGTTGCCATAAAGAGTTTTTTGCATAAGCTGGCTGGTGCTACCCTCGAATATGTTCGCCGTTCTAACATAATGATTGAGGCTGATCTGAGGTGGCTAGCGTGAATGTTTTGACTCGCTTAAGTTTTATAATACCCATGCCCTCGTGTCTAAACAACCTTGAGAATGTTAATCCCCTGTTCACCAATTTCATCCTGTGATTTGTTTGTTCATTTCAGTCAACGATACCGGTGTATACCTCTTGGAAGACGGACACTTTTTCTACCAAACTGATGGAATTTCGCCTTTGGCGGATGCGAATAGCAGTTCCACCCCTCCCGAGGCCGGCCAAAAGGTCTCAGGAATGGGAGATTCTGACGCACCACGGCGAACGGTCAATTTCAGCACCCAACCGATAATGGTGAGTGTTCTTGTTGCGTTTACCCACTCGCAGTTTCCCGACAAGTTTCCTTTTTGTAAATGAGCTGCGCACCGCTGTTTTTCTGGCGCCTCCTCCAGCCTACCCAAAAGCCCCTCCGAATCATTCAGGGTGAATAATGTGGCAGTAGTCATTGTTGACAAATATAATACTACAGTTTTATGCGTTAAGTCTTAATATATGGGAGAGCAGCTCAATTGCAATTGGCGCAATTTGGGCCGTAGAGCGTCAGAACAAACCATGGTGGCTTCTTCCGCAATCCCTCAGCGCAGCCTTAACCACTTACGCACGTACCGGTTGCCGCTACTTGTGTTTATTACAAAGACTTCAAAATTTCTCATGGCTTGAAGTTTCACAGTGAATGAGCATTTTAATCGGAAAGTTGGTTGTAGTATTTGTGTATGACAAACGAAATGCAAGGGGCATGTGACAATTGGCTTTGCTTTTAGCATCTTCCTCGATTCGAGTCCTCTTGCTTATCGTCTTGACCGTATAGTTTAAACTGTATGATTAGGAAAAAAAATGTCCTTTTGGATTGAAAGCAAAGCATTACACGCATCATGTGATTACCGCATATGATTAAAACTGAATCATTCCTTTGAACCCTCGCGCAATAATAGGGCAGCTTGAGATTGTTCAAAGGCACAATCTTCGGCAACTTCGTTAATGGTAACTCAAATTACCCCTTTTTAATTACGCTTTTCTTTTATCGAAACATAATGTAGTTGCGAGCACTCATGTTGGACTTCTAACATTGGCTTATTCGAACTGGTTGTCACGATAATTAGGACAGGGCCAAGTGATGCCGGCGTTTCTTTTTTCGGGAAAAACAAAACGCCACTTTTGCTCGCTTCAGTGCGGCTTGTAACTCACCAAATTACCTGGTCTTTCTACTGATTCCTTGTTTCCACTTTCGGTAGCCCTTCCACAAGACAATCATACCTTTAGACTCACCGTCTTTGCGTCGTTTCGCTGGCTTCCATTCTGTTTGTGAAAAAAGCCAAATAATGAATGCTATGTCACTGGTTCCTTGTAGACTAAACTTTTTTCTGTGGATGCTTGTAGCTCAAACCTAGGCAAACTCTGCTATAAAGTAATTTGTGCTTCGTGTATTGTGTAGTCCAAGCGGGAAGCCTGACTTCTTTGGGCCAGTGAACCATCAATTCGAAGATTTCTTATTTTTTTTCGCCAATTACCAACTCTGCCGTCAAGCCTTAAAAGATGTACAGACTCGTCTAAACTATCCCCCAATTCCCACCGGGTTTTGATTGGCCAGCATCTTCGCTACCTTGTCAAGAATTCCTGTAACTTGGCGTGCGTTCGGCTCTACCGCCGGCTCAAAGTTTACTAAACCATTTACGTGTTGATTGTGCGAGAAACCTTTTGATCCGATCGCTGTAAGAGTTTGCGCATCCGATTCACTGTGGTATGCTGGTGGTTTCTTGATTGGTTCTCAGATTAAGTGTAGCAATACACCATCATATTTGACGATTGTGGAATGACCAGGCCATAGCCGTTTTACTAAATCGGCTCACTTGTTACCAGGACATTCGACTTGCGTTCGAAGGGTCGTTAAGCTAATCTTTTCGGTCTTCCGGAGCATTGACAAGGCCAGCGCGCTGGATTCTGGTGCACACGGCAAGACTTTCTAGACAAAGTCATCTCGGCACTGCCCATTCGCCATCGTACAAATGTATTTCAGTCAATGCAGTTGTATACTATGGACACACGTTAATAATAACTGGGCTGTAACAATGTAGGCCCTGCATGTGCCCCCAATGCTCCCCAGGCCCACCCGCTGCCTGCGCACAATATGAGGGAACGATAATTACTGTCCAAATTAACTGTTTATGATTGAAAATGGAAGTTTTCTTGCTCCTTAGAGTAAATACTTTTAAGGCTCCTTTTGACACTGTGTCCTCATGACTGATCCTTTACTCCAAAAATCGTTCGTGGTGTGTTGGTTAAATGCGGCAAAGTTCTTCAGAAATTCATCAAAGTATTCAAATACTACTTCGAATAATTGCAAATTTTTCTGTTCTAGCTGTTTTGGTACTGAGTCCACTCCAATGTAATAGAGAGCTGAGGTTGCACGCCAGCCACATTCTTGAACAATTTAATTACGAGAGGACAACATTGTCTGATGATCAAAGACTTGTTTTCGTAAACTGATGACATTTACTGGTGTACTGGTTCGACTCAATTGTCGCTGAATTCCCTTCATTTTCAGTTTCGACTCGTGGTCGTCAAGTTGCTTCCTTCACACAGGGCATCGTAGCCATTCAATTTATTTTGCATTGTGTGACGTGCGAGGTGGTCATCATTGCGACCGCTTCATCTCATCTCTATCCGTGTAGCAGGAGTGCATTGTTTATAGTTTGTATCTTTTATCACTGGTGGTAACGCTACCAAAATCGCGCAGTGAAGTTTTGGCTGTGGTGTGTTCCTCCTATTTCGCACCTACTATTGATGTAGCGATTTAAATGAGGTGCGGAATTCGTATGGGATAGAAGTGCGTGCATTAGCATGCTCACTGACTCGAAGTGGTGCTTACGCAAGGCCCTACTCCGTGGTCTGAAACCGTTATGAAAGCGATAATTGCCCAACTAGTCTTCAATTTCGCCTACTTTAACTCATATCCTCCCAGGGGTACGAAAGGTCATAGAGGTGAGATGTCAAAAGCTATGGGACGGATAAAGTTAAAAGCATCTACTCCGTAATTTATTCACGCATTGTCCTAATTTTCCACTATTGCATAGAAATATCATCAACATACACAATTCCATCGCTAAAGATAATTTTACTTAAGAAGTAGGCTTGCAGATTACATTCATGTCATTTTTGTGTTTTTTTTATCTTGTTGTTGTAATTCTCATCTTACTATAACAAACAATGCCTTGTGATCCCTTGTAAGTGCAATGTACTCCTTCATGTCGTAGATGTCCTGGTACAACGCTAAAAGAATCACATTGAAAAGAATTTGAATAGGAGGCATTTCACCACAAGAAAAGGCCCGTTTTTCCTGGTTATACACGATCCACTATAAATACATCCCACTTAATGGATTGCTGCTTCTTCCGTGCTTAGCGTATAAGATAGCGCTTATTCATATATGAATTTCGTGTCATGCTCTGGTGGCGCGTAAGAAGCAGTGCCCTACTGAACCTGTTCTGTAGGATGTAAACTTTTGTAGCAGTTGCCAGGGTTTCCTTACTGCTTGATTACCAGACTTATGTGGGTGCTAATCTGAACGCGGATTTCGTTTTGTTAATACACGCCTTGTTCGCTTGGTTTTAAGTGAATCACTTGTGACTGTGGCACTGCCAATTTTTCAATTAGACCATGCTTTTGAGCCAGTCAAATGGCGACTAAATAAACATGTGACGTGAGAGCATAAGTTTACAGTAATTCTACAATAAACGTGGCAAAAATTGGCGATGAAACGGTTCGAATTTTTACACTTTGAATGCGTTCTACAAGATCTCGTTAACCAGATATTTCGTTGGTACACAAACCAACCTCGTGCCACTTCTCAGAGCCAAACAATGACGCTTCGTTATCCTAAATGACCAAATTTAACGTTTAACTAATTGACAATTTGTGGACGGCGTCAAGGAAGCAGGCAAGTGGGCCAGATACTTGTGCCATGACGAACGAAGTTTAGACCTGCAGGCAATAAATTATCTGTGCCTTGATTTCTAGACGTGGGGAGAGAAAGTGGATCATGTGCGGGACGTCATTTAAAAAAAAACATGGTTGCCTTACAGGTATCAACAGTCAGATCCAAAAGTCTATGTATGGTAGCAAGTTTTGCTTGTGTGTGTGGGGGGGGAGGGCTGCAATCGAATTACGTGTAGTGAATCTTATTGATTCATGTTCACTAGCCCGGTTGTTGCATTCTTCGCCATTCTGACCTCATTTTCACGCCGATCCTATCGATCATGCGAAATCATCTGCTCATGCATTCCTGTGCGTGTACCACCACCACCTCCCACGCTACCCGTTTCTTTCATCTGACCTTCCAGCTATTTGTACTTTAACAGGTTCACCTCATTTAGTCGGGCATGTTTTTGTGCGTAGTGGCGCGACTAACACAACTCGATTGAGCTATCTGGTAACTGGCCGCGTTTCTGCCGTCTCAGGCCTTCTACTTGTCTTTCCAGGTACCTGAGTTAGGTAAACAGGCCACTTCAACTCAAGATCAAGAGCATATACCGGGACCTACAACATCCATATTCCCATTTGTTGTTGCTTTGCAAAACTTTTGTTGCGGCTACCTTCCTGATCAAAAACTGTGGCATTCATCCGTAGAACCAAAGAATACGAATTTTAGTTGGAATTGGAACTCGTTCACTCAATCACCGGGTTCACCGTTCTAGGTTCTATGGTGTGTTGATGGGGATGTGACGCGATGGGTATTATTTGAGGCTAACATTTGGCGATTTTCGGGACCATAACGTTCTTGCTAACGCTAACCTGATCCCCTTTCTGCTTGACAACGCCGAGCTGCAAGCAGCAGAAGTGACGGTGGTGACAGCTTCGGCGATTGGCTGGCCTGTTTTGCCTCACTCACACGTACCCACTACCAACTGATTGCCATCTCTTTCGACTACTGCTGAATGCAAACAGTTTATGGAGATTGCCTGAGGTTTCCGCAGTGTGAATCAGTGGGCCGTCTCGGGGGTGAAAGGAAGTCAATAAACTGATAAGGGCTTTTATTCCAGAAAACAAGCTTTTTTTATTAGAGTAGGCGCATTGTCCCAAAGAACACTGACCATTTCACGACGGATTTCGTTAATTAGGCATATGCGTCAGTAAGGGGTTTCTGATTAATGACGTCCGAAGCAAACCTCAGGAGAATTTAGCTTTGTCGTCCATAGATACTACCTCGTTGTATGGTGACTGCTTTATAAACTATTTTTTTTCAATTAGATTGGGAATCTTGTTCTTCTTAGTTTGTCTTAAATTGCACTAATCAGCTTTTGATAAAGTGTTGAGAACTGAAATAAACTTTGGCTGCTTGATTACATGATTTCTTCCTGTTTCTCTGCTCTGCGTTGGAATTTGTTGTTAAATTGTGTCTAGAACTTTGCAATTTGCAGTAATTTTCTTCTGTGTAGTACTAAAAGCATGTAATTAAAGTTTGAAACATGTTATGCACTTTCACTGCAAAAGAGGAAAGAAGGGTTCTGTGGCTTGTGGGAAAGTATGCCCTGTTGGTTATTTACTGCTAGACTGATGGGTTTGGGGGTGTATTGAAACATTTACTAGCGTTGAGAATTCATCCCATTCTGGTCGACACGTAGCTAAAGGCGTTTGCAGTAATAAAGCCCTGAATGAAAACAGTCTCACAGTGTCTTCATGAGGGTTTTTCCCAGAACAAAGCCTGATAATTATGTTCCGCTTCCGTCGTGTCATGAAAATTTTGCTGGCTACATTTGTGCTCGTGTGGTTTATTGCCTAAACACAGCAAGCACCACGAGTTGCGTCTGCCACAACATGCTAGCAACATCATGTGGAAATTTCAGAACAAATTCCGAGCGGTTCGATTTTTTGGTTAAATGAATCACAATTTAGTGGAAATTTCAAACCAGGTTTCCATTAGTCACGACGCTCATCTCTGTCCATTTTTCCGCTCTTACGGATCATGCATGTCGTGTGGCCAAAGTGCTGTTTTTTCACGGTGAACACTGCTTGCGATGCGGTTGTTTTACCCTAGCAACACCAGCTGTAGTTCTCTGTGCCCCTTCGTGTGTCCTCGCGGTCACCCCGTTAATCGTTACTTCCTTTTGCAGGTATTCAGCACCCATTCAGTGACCGCCTACGAACGACGCAATGACTCAATTGACCCACTTGTTGCCTCTGCTGAGTACGAGCTGGAGAAACGGCTTGACGACCTTGAGCTCTTTGATGTGGAGCTAAATAAAGGTTTGTGTGTTCGTGTGTAATTGTAGTCGAGATATTTTTGAACCACAGCAAACACCTGCCGCCTCTGCAATTCATGGGATGCACTATTACACCTTTACACGACCAAATGATTTCACCCTTTCCTGTCTCAATCAAGTGTACCTTGCAAAAGCTAGCTTTGAGGTACCCTCCCATCGGTTGGCATTTGGGTTCAATCAGGGCGCAATCTAAATAATCTCGTTCTCTCTTATTTCTGCCAAAGATAATCTTGCGGGTTTTGTGCTGTCAGGCTAACCACCAAGTTGGTCGCCGTGCCGTCAAGGCATGCCTGAAACCCTCGAACTTGGCCATTACCTTTCGTGCTCGTGTGTTTCTTAAACGACTGACAGTGGTGTTTGTTTACTAGCCCTTTCGTGTCGTTTATCTGACCCAGCGTCTGTTGCAAATGTCCAACACTCGCCCTCCGTGTGTATTGTTTTTTTTTTCGATGGATACTCTGGTTCCATCACGCATTTTGTCTGTATGTGAAGCGTATTACAATCGGCTGCCGTTAAGGCTATCGCGTTTGTAAATACCGACGCAAGGGTTGCGTGTCTGAACCCAGGCGTCCGCCTTCAAGGCCACACGTGACAAGTGGTGTTTACGATTTGCCTTCAGTTGTAACTTAGATTATTTAATGGTCGTTTGTTTCTCATGTCAAGTGATTCTTTTCGAAAAAAAGCACTTTTAAATCGCTTAAAAGAATTACCGGCGCTACTGACGATTTGAACTTGACCTAAACTTGAACTTGAACCTCAATACTCGGTAGCCTGAGCAACCCCGCTACGTGCTGAAACACAAAGAGTTGTGCGTTTGAGATTTGCAAGATTTGTGGTTGTCTGGAGGAGACTAGGCTTGGTTGTAAGTTGCTTCTTCCGGTGAATCAATGTGACGGGGGGGTGTTGAAGTCACTGAACTTATGAAAATGGATCTGCACTCGCCTGCAGTGCCTCTACTATCATTGTCGACTTCGTGTGGTCGATTGTAGCGCGTAAAGGTAATGCTAATTTCCGTTGTGAACTGTAAACCCGTGCGTGAATTTTGTTATCCGAACACCGCACCCTGTGTATGCATGAAGAGGTACTTTAGTGTGTGTGTGTGTGTGTGGAGGGAACAATTTCATTCTTCGGCTGTCTTTATGGATGTAGGCGTTCGTCAGGTTGGGTGAGTTGCATGCACCTTTGACCACTCACGACAACTTGCACTTCTGCCCTACTGACCATATTACCAGGGTGATGGCATTGCCAAGTTGTATCTTTTTTTTCATGGTCTCTCTTAAAGGCTCTAATGGACTCGGGATCAGCATCCTCGGAATGGGAATGACCTTTGTGAATGGTGTCGAAAAATTGGGAATATTTGTGAAGGCCATCACCCCCGGAGGAGCTGCCGACGTCGATGGAAGGTGAGTTTGTTCTCTCGTGTTCTCGTGCTCCCTCCACCTCGAAACCTACAGAATTTGGCCGGTTGAACTCGCTGATTTAATTTTAACGTGCCAGTTGTACAATCGATTGCATGGTGATTAGTTGGATTTCATCGAGCATAGGAACTTGGTTGTTTTGATTCTGACTAAATTGGATCACAATTTACACAGTTTGGTGATTTTCTGCTTTTCAGTAATTTGCTGTCTTGTCATCAATTGGTTGAACTGCCCTTAACGGCTGTGAGTTGCACTCGAAGCAGTTTTATTGGTTCCGGCCTGTAGTTATTGATCCTCAGTGGTCTGTGTGCAGGGTTATTTTCCCGTTCACGCAAGCGTTCGCGATGTGACGGTCGACTGAGGTCTTTCCAACTTAGCCAGAAATTTCTAATGATTTGTGACAGCTCCTTGAAGAGCCTAACCGTTGGCTGTGGTGGGAACTTTCGTGTCATATGTAAATCGATTTTATTTATTTATTTAGCAGTTAGGTATTGTCGCAATTTAGTGCCATCTCCTAAATAATTTAGCAATTTGAAAGGCGATGCCTACTGGACTGACTTAATTTTTTCTGCCGTTAATATAGTAGAAAGGGGGAAAATAGCCTCAATTTTTGCCACCATTGGTAGGCATCTTGGCGTTCGTGTTTATGCCTTGTTCAGTAAACAACAGATGGCAATAGGCTATAGGTGTCTGCTAGGGTACCCTTTGGGCCAGTCAATGCCTCACCAACACGTGCGCATGAGTCATGTCGCCCTTCATTAGGCTTCTGTTTAGACGCAGAGCCTCATTTTTGTGTCTTCGGTTGTCATTCTCACAAAATGTGTAATGATAGAAGACACTTTCACATGACTGGCAGTCGACGAAGTTTCCTCAAGGAGTTCAAGAAGTTGTGGTTGTAGTTGTAACGTAGATCCACCAACGTGGTAGTGGCGGTCCGTCACCTGCACGTTTCTAGTATTCACTTCACATACTCCACGCGCGCAACCTTGCATGCAACCCCACCCCGCACCTCGTGACACCACTGCCGTCAGGTTATTAAATCGACGAATGTGTCACTCTACTTTGGTGGTTTCTACAGAGAGGCACACTTCAGTAACTCCGCTATTGGCAGTAATCAACCACAAGTTGCCCTAGTGATTGCAGGAATCCCTATAAATCAGCATCCATTTTAGTTAATTACTGCTGATTGTGGGTTTTTAGTAATAGAAACAAAATTTCTGACAGTCAGAGCTCAAAAGCGCTTCCGTCCTAATGAGGCTATTAACTTGGCCTTCGTGATGTCACGTTTAGTACTCAACCTAGCCACGGAATTACTTTACAACGGACTAAAATCCGTCGGCTTCAAGCTCGCTCAACTATCGATTTTACAACAAATTAGTTAGCTTCCGTCATAAAGATGGTGTGGGCTGCCCCAAAACCGCCACAGCTCCTGGAAATACATCAACCGGCTAACGATGATCCTTTACAGAATGCTTCCAAGTAAAAAACTTCCCTCAAATATCCATTGGACTATTATCAGTAATTATTGGCTTCAAAAACCAAGTTTCCACTCTCACGAGCTCATTTGCCGGCGCCCAGACGCGTACCTAACTGACGCCAAGTGCTGCATTTGTAACTCCCTTACAACAGTCCCGTTGACGAGGTTTGCCTACACGTTTAATTTGCTGCACAGTTTTTTGGTCGTCGAAAATGCCACAGCCACTTTCGACGCAAATTTCTAGGGACATGTCCCTCCCTCAAAGGTTCCTACATTCCTTATCGTTCGAAAGAAATTTGTTTGTTTGATAATAGTTAGTGTTCAAAAAAATCTCGACATCTTATCTGGTTTTTGTGAACTTTAAGTGCCATCTAGCAAAATAAGGTCACTGGAGATCCCACTTCTGATGCGAATCATGGTTACTTGTAAACCGGTAATGTTGTGTTTTGCCTATAGCCAAGCCCTTAGATAACCGGTGGCCCAGGTTCCTTGTCTGACGCCAGACCTCACCCTCCCACGCTAATGCAAGATAATATTGTGAATCGTGTTTATTCGCCTCCGACACAGGGCTCCCCTTTTCGCAACATGGCGCCAGTCGCGCAAATTCTTAACTCCCCCTTCATTCACACGAATATCTATCTTGGGTTAACCTCACACCTAGGTCTCGATGTTAGCACATGTATGACTAACACATCCGAGGTAAAATACACACGCACAAACCCCACATTAAAAAACCACGTCTTCGTCAAGTCCTCGAATAAACGTTTGACTCTCTGTCCTTCCACCGAGTTCATCTTTGTTGGGTAACTCGTGATATTAGGCATCCCAACAATAAGACCTCGCGCAGTTAGCTTCTAATATCTCAGCCAAAGACTACGTGATGTGTCGAACTGTCTCTACTTATCTAAGTCTAGGGTGGCCTTGACCTGATGGATGAAGGCGGATTAACACAGATGAGCTGTCAGTATGGTGACTCATCCACTGATGTGACGTGGTTAGGGGAAGGGTGTGAACAATGGCGAACTCAGCGATAAGCCATCTTGTGGAATCCTGGATCCCCAACAATCAACCACTCTGACCTACCCTCCATGACTAATGTCCACGAAAAATTGCGAATTTACGTGGTACTTTCATACCACCATGTTTGGTCTTTCATGAAAAAATCCGTACTCAATGCACCTAAACAGTCTCATCCTCCATTTCTCCCCGGTATACCAGCGTAGCGAACCTTTTCTGTTAGAACTGAAAGTCCCTGGTACCAAATTAAAACATGTTCGTGCTTATATCATAAGACTCCAGAATTCTATTAGCTGTTTCTATGAATTAAACGTTTCGCGTTACAGCGAGACGCCTAGGTGTGATACGTCTGAAGTACCTGTGTAAGTAATTTCCGAATATGACATTTCTAATTCGTTTCTCACCCCACTACCATAATTAACGGAAATAGTTCGTCTAATTCATGGATGAACAAAATCAAATAACAGCTTTAGCTTTTCTCAGACGTTCAACTTCGTGAAATGCGCCCACCATCAACCGCGTGCAACATTTACTGTTCAGGAGCTAAAGAATATCCCATGTTCCACAAAGGAAGGACCTCAGATGTACAACAACACCAAACGTATTTCAAATGTTCCTCATTACGGCGCATCTATTTCTTGCTCACAGTGATCAACGCACAATCCAATACAGCCTCCCTTTAACTCGATCGGTAGCCATTTTGCCAACTTTATCAGCTGACTTGTGAAGGACTTAGTGAAGCCATCGGATATTGGTTGTCGAACGCAGCCGAGAGAGTGACACAGTTTTCACCTGTGGAATTGTATTCCTCGAAACGGAATCAGCTCCAGCAGGTCGTAGGCACAACTCGACTAAACACTTTTCAGAACCCTTCACATGCGTTCAGACAAACAAGTACAGTAACTTGGTCGTTTTGTGTGCGACGTGGACCTCCATGTGTTGTATCTTTTCCCTCTCACACTACTACCGTTCGCTTCAGTTCATTCACATGCGTGAGCCTACATGTAGCTCCTCACGCCACATTGGAACACCGCTGGATAAACGAATGCTTTTCTCTTCTCTTTCGTCTTCTTACTCTTCATCAAGCTCTTCGAGAAGCCATGCCCTAGTATGATAACACTGGATTATGCGGTTATATTAATCTCTTATGATCTAGCGCGTTTAAGGCCTATATTTTCCCACTCAATTAATACGAGTCTCGAGATCTGGCGGAGTGATACATTTAATCGAAGACTGTTTTAGTTTCACATCAGACGCCGTAAATTGTTTTTGCCATTTTTAGAATGCGAGTCTACGATCAGTTAGTGGAAGTGGATGGACAGAATCTGGTTGGTGTTTCGCAGAATTTCGCCGCTACTGTTCTCCGAAACACCTCGGGTACCGTGCAGTAAGTCCCGTCCACTCCGAGTCTTGACCAGTGCACCGACTGGGCGTTAGCAGCTCACTCCAACCGCCTTGAGAGAGAGAGTTGGGCTAGCTGCTGCTAGGTTGTCACGAGTCATAACCGCCCTCCAAGTATAGCCCGCGCAATAAAATTTGCAAACGCAACTCTTTTACACCGTTTTCAAGAGCGGATTTTAACATGACTTTGACAAATTGTGTTTGGAAATGCCCCGCATTTGTTGGCTCTGATTAACCTCGACTAATGAAGTAGCAGTCTTTATTTGTTTTCTTGGAACTCGTGGGCTTCATTTGGGCTTTAGGAAACATCCCTAGCAGCGAAACTTCCAGGCTGTGGTATTTTTGCGTCTCCACGCCCCCCTATTGCTGATGATTTATCACCATCTGTTGCCTTGTAAGGCAGTGTGTAATTGTATTAACTTGTTTCGTGAAAAAGCTTCTCTGTGACGAAGTAACCCCCTTATTTTCGCAATTTATGCCACTCAACTTTCCCATGCTTTTGATGAAGGCATTTCTTAAGAAGACTTCAATTACTTGAGTTTAATTTTACATAATACCTGCCTTCGCGCTTTTGGGTTGCTTCCAATTGTTCAAAATGTCACGCGTCAACCGTATTTTGTAAAATATTTTTTGCGGGGGAGCATCAAGCTGGAGTCCATCGGTTTGCGAGGAAACGTCACCCTACGTGTTGATGTGGTTTTTGTACTCTTAAGGTGTACTATAAACCTCTTGCTGGGAATATGCTGGAAGTACGCATCAAGTGATGTGACTTATCTTTACCGCCAATAACCTATTGTATTCAAAGAAATTGGTGTTTAGTTGCGTTACTCTGCTTGATTTTCAATCATTAATTCATGCCCCAACGAATAATTTAATTGAATTTTTAAAAAATCTAACTCGAAGTATTCCCGGTGGTAACATTCTTAACGTTTTGATTATCACCAATTTTGCTAAGGCCCAATAAAACAGACCATTTTGTCTTTGACTCACGCGTCAGGCTTGGCATTCTCGTGGAACTCACGGGTCGAAGCACTTGGCTACTTTTCTAGTAGGATCATATTATTTGATTTTTAGCGCTAGACTACTCTTACTGATAAACGTGGAGATCATTTGACTGGATTTTAACTATTTTCGGCCTCGAAAACTCGATTAGTGCGGTGTGTCTTTTATGTGCCTTCTGTATTTATGCTCCAGTTGTTTTGTGGTTACTCAAAAGCACCGAATGTACCTCTGGGATGCTTGGTGATGCCACTGCTGAGCATCATGGCATTGCGAGTCACTGTCGGGAACTTGAACTGTGAAATCATTCCTTTGTTACTCTCGGTCACCTTAAATGTTGCCATATTTAGCAATTTGTTTGAATCCCTTTAACCGTCTTGCTGGTTTGGTGCAATGCATTCTACAATTGCAAACCTTCATGATCTTGATGGGTATTTGCCTGCTAACAATGTCTAGGTTAATACTTGCACGAATACAACCCATCGTTTTTGACTGTAGCACTAACCGAAAGTCGATTGTCGTGCAATTTGCGTGTAACCTTCGGTAGTCATGTGAGTGCAGCCATTTCCCCCATTTTTCCGCTGTAATTCTTCTAAAATATCACGGTTACAGCTATCCCTTCCACCTCCCACTTGGGCTATTTTAGCAGTTCCACGTTTCACACTCTTTTCCTACATAAACTGACATTCTAGATTTGTTATCGTAACAAGTCATCTCTGTTGTGAAAGGCCGCGTTAACACATCACTTGCCAAACGGAAATGTTTATACGTTAGAAACGTGCCCACGATCAGGCTATGCCGCAGTAATGCTTAAAGCCATGAACGAATGAAATAAGCAAAATCACCGAATAACCGCCTATTTTAGTTTCCTTGTCGGACGCGAAAAACCCAACACCTCGAATTCAATCGTTGCTCTTCTTGAGGCCGACGGCCAAATGACTTCCAGTACCTGTTCCAGTGTTGGTGCCAAGTAAGCTTTCTTTTTAACTCCCCGTACTCCCAAAACCTGTGCTGTTCGCTTCTTCTGACTCGACGGTACCGTCTGTATCTTCAGTACCGCCAGTGATATGAAGATACACTCCTTGGTCATAGTGTGCCTTCGGGATGCTGACAGCCTTGAAATTGCCCCCATAGTATCCATGGCTAATGAGTGGGACCACATTATTGTTGGTCCAGAACTTTTGTAGTGTCCACATCCAGCATTTTCCAAGTGAAGCCCCGACAAACGAGCGTTACACCCGCCTTTGTCAACCTCGGCTTATTTGTGTTGGCGGGGCATGAGGGCGAGGTGTATTTTACCCTCGATTGTCAACTTAAACTCTTAACTGTGGTACGAGTCGATGGCTTAAGTAATTACATGTGTAAAAAAGTTCCCAAAGACCAACGCGCGTAAGAAGGTGCTTGGCCTTAGCTGTGACGAGGTGTGTGGTGCGCGCGGCGAGAGAGTGGCCGACGCGCGCCTTTGCTCAGGCTGGACTAACGAGGGAGCGCTCGTTCATGCGTGTACGCTTGCGCCTAGGGTGGACGACCGGCCGAGGCGGCACGAGGTCAGCACGTGTCCCGAGTTGCCTCCCCTACACAAATCCTTCCCCTGTCCGTATTCGTGATACGGGTCATCTAAGAAAACGACGTGCTTGCCGTTTAATTCCAATTGATTTAAAGTTCCTCGTTAACATAGGTGCTACAACTGATAGTGGAGGTGTTTTCCGACTTGATTCTTTCAGACACAATCAGTCGGTATAATAGGCAGTCTACATGTGTTTTTTTACGCAAACGGAGGGGTCAAGGGAAAACCAATCTGTGTCGTGTGTAAATTATCTGCGAAGTTTGCCACACCGTGGTACCCGAGCAACGTGTACCCTGACTAAGCGACGCCCTAGTGCTGCAGCCAACCCCCCCCCCGTTTCGTTGCCTTTGTTAGTGGTGCGCACGTGTGCACAAAGTGCATGACTCATACCATTCGCTTGGCGCGTCCTTTCGTCGTTGGAACTGAGGAGGTTGATTTTGACCTTCCGTGCCCGTGTATCCCCGCCCTGCTCAACGACCGCAAGAACTGTGTTGGAGTCACACCGGCTTTTTAAGCTCATTGCGGCAATAAAAGCCCACCCGCGTAGTACGCCGCGCGCTTACTGGCTCCTCCCTTGTGCCCTCCCTCTCTAACGTGTTTCGCGCCAGATCTCAACAATGGGACGTAATGCCACTTAACGAGTGAGCTCTTAAGGCGGTGTGTGGATGAGAAAAACCAAACGTGTTCCTAGCCCTCCTCTCCGGTTTTAATACTCACAGGCGCAGAGGGTTTGTCAGGTGTTTGGGAACTGCTGACGGGTACTCGTAGTAAGAGTCGGGCAAAATCCTTTGTAGGCATACTCCAAAAGACGTAGGTCCTTCAATCACGCATCCTGTTTCAATCAACGTTTTTAAAATATGATTAGCTACTAGACACAAACCTACTACTTCAGAGACGGGGAGATTGCTTTTCTGGTGGAATCAAGACCATGTCAAGAAAGACTGGACTAACCCGCGTGGATTTGTTTCGCTGGTCTGACAATTTTCCTCCCATTTTTTAGCTCCGACGTAACAGAAGAGGGTCAGGAATACTCACTGCGTCATGTAAGTCGGCTATGTCTGTCATTACTTTACCCAGACCCTTCTATGCAGTTTGTTTTGTATTTACATGGCAGCGCTTTCCTCTACACAGCGATGCACGCGAAGTGCAGTAGCGAATCAACGAAAGCCAGTGTACTACAGCCCCAACAAACCCCATACAACGTTATGGTAGTTGTTGGAATCAATGCACGTAACTACCCATACTAGCTTAATGCGCTACTACATAAGACACGATTACTTTGTTGACTTTTCGACTGATTAGATCTCTTGTTATTAATCGTGTGCATTGAAAACATGCATAAATTGGGCTTAAGTTGCCCTCCCGCGTAACCCAGACCGCAGTTAATGGTAGCGAATGGAAATTCATGGTGCAGGGTGGAATTTTTTAAGGTCTTGTTTTGCAGACAGGCATTTATTTCGAAAAGAGTGTCTTCTATACGTGCACTTATTCGTTCATAAGTGGGTAATACAGACTTGATTGTTGAAATCGCATCGCAGCACAGCGACGACGACGGCGATGGAGACCCGACTGTCCAACCACAGCTGTTGTTTGTGTGGGTGTGTGGGGTGTGTGTGTGTGCACACTCGCAGACGTGAACTAGTAAATAGACGCGGCTGAGTGACCAGGTGTGTGAGGCGTGAGTCGATGTCGCGACACTCGTGGGGGTGGGGTCGGCATAAACAATGCCACTGAGGTGACCAAACGGGTTGCTGATTTACCAACGCACCAGGACAACCGACGTAACCACAATGCAGGAACTGGGCGGTGGCTTGCACATGCCTTACTACTGTCTCCTCTGTCGGACGGGTGTTTCCATTCTGGGTGTTTTGGTGGCCTTTGATTTTTGCAATGTCTGCACTCGCGCGGATTCTTCCCTGCTCCTTGGGTAAATGGAGATTACGGGGTGGTGTGGCCGCAGAAACTGCAGAGCAGAAACCCAGCTGCTGCAAACACACGTCGGTGCTGTTTACTTTTTTTATTGCACTGACTCACCCCAACCATTCTCCTTAAGTCATGACGTCGTACCGTTAATTGCCCCACAACCTGGGATCCTAGGTGCGCTCGATGCGTATGCAAGGTGGCACGCTTGCGATGGCTGGTGAGACTTGTTCAAAATCATGGCCTTTCCTTGAAGACAAAGGATCCTCTTTTGGTTCCGCACTCCTCGAATTCATTCATTAAAAGATGCGATAGCCAGCCAGCAGCTTCCCTTGGCGAGTTCCGTTCTACCGCCTCCCCCAAATTGCAGTAGAACTTTTCTAAAAATTAGCATAATGCACACGAGGTAAGGAAGCTTTTGTGATTCCCATTTAGATGCACAACAGCAAGGCCATTTCGCCTTACTGATAAATTTCGTAAAAACGTAAGTTTAAATTCATTCAGGCGCTGCAGACGAGGGCGAAAAGTAGACAGCCACGCACTCGCCTGTTTAGCAAATACGCGAATGTGTCATCTTAGAAGTAAATAGTGGGCCACTTGTCTGGATTCTTTTCCCGGTGGTTCTCCTTCCCAACGATGGCCTACCTGCCATCGTAGCAGGTTAGACACGTTTCGGAGGTCGAGACGAAGTCGAACCAACTGTCTAGTTCTTTGTAAATTCCATCTTGCTAACACGCATCCAGTATTCAATAAGGCGAATGCTGATGGTGTAGGATTATACTCGATGAACTCGGTTGCGGGTAAAGGAAATGCCTAATACCCTGCCATGGCAGCACGAAGAATTCCCAAAATTGTGTTCTTTGCAAATCTGCATGTCTGCGACAGCGGCCTGGGTAGGCATCCTAAGGCAGAGTACAAAGTGACAGTTTCTCGACAATTCGTGACCCACAAATCGGAAAGTAGCGTGTTATAAGACCCTTCTCCGTCAGGAGTGCCACAACTCTGATCTGTTGGTCCAACCAATCGCGACCCATTCAGAAACCAGGTGACGCAAAACCCATTCTCAATGGCATTTGTTCTTCACCGCTCCACCGGCTAATAATTTCGCCGTCTTGGTCAATTGGGGCCTCAGTAAGCGGTCTTTATCGCCAGTTTGTGTGGCAAAAAGTAGGCAGAGCGGTGGCTGGAAAATTGCAAGGAGGAGGGAGCCACAAGGAGACCACCAAGCTGTCTGTCATGCACCTTACCAGGGGTTATTTAAGCTATTTCTGGGGACAGAGTCCACAGCTGTTCTATTTTGCTTATTTACCCACCTCCGTTGTCTTTCATGTTCTCTTCTCATGATAGTTCTCCTAATTCGAAACGACAGAGTTGTTAACACGGTGTCTCTCTAATCGATTAACTACAGGGTATTCGAGCCAAATTTCCAAGAGATTATTTTTGAGTTTTCGACGTACACGTCAAGTAGTGACGGCCGTGTAAATTACGTCTGGATCCTACTTGGTCTGATATATCGGGTGCATTTTTAGCTGCTCCTAAATGTTAACTATCTCAGCTTCCAGTTCAGAACACATCTTATTGCGCCCATTTGATTACTTTCCAGTATCAAACAAAAGTTAATTGTTTGAATTTTTGGATTCTTGGAACCCTGAAATGCCTATTGACTCGACCAGTTGTTCCTGATGGTTACTGAGTAAGAAAGTAAGTGGATTGGATGGACACCCTTACTTGGTAACTGGTCCAGTAAATCAGTTTAGGTGCTATTAGCCTCTAATCGGCTGTCGCGGATTTGCGTCCAGCCAACTTGGAGCGGTCTAAATCGTCCATGATCCAATTAATTTTAAGCCTAGGCAAAGGTGTGCTTCCTGCACTCTCAAAAATTATTAAACTATCACCTTTCATTCGATTCAATACTTGTACTAATGTGATTGAATCTTGGTATCGTTTTATTTCTTACTTTATTGACTCCCAGAACTTGTAAATAGAGAATTACAAGTGCCCAGGTGTAATAGAGTTAGGGCCTGACTTGAAGGAATAACGATCCACTGTGAGTCAAAGCTTGTTTTCTTTTCAAGGCAAAAAGTGATTCGGTGGAGACCCTCCGCAAATTGCTAGCCGACGCTTCAGCCGCAGCCGCGAGGGCCCAGTTCTCCGACGATGATGAGGAAGAGGACGGTGGCTTGTCCGACGACCACTACGCCACTAACTCCACCTCGCCCATCAACACCGACGACACTCAAGAAGACGATGAGGAGGGCGAAAAGACCCTTCGCGAGGCGACAGCTGGCACTGACGCCTCGTCGGCCTCCTACGACGCCGGCCTCTGCTCCTCCACCACCGAGTACGACTCCGGCACGCGCCTCCGCCCTCGTGATCAGCTGATCGGTCATCTGATTGTCTCAACGCTGGATAAGGTCGCGCAGGACAACAACTCGGCGCTTGTAGCGGAGGAACTCTACTTCGGACTTACGGAGTCGGAGAGGACGAAGATAAACCGGAGAATTCCAAGAACTGCGTTTCCCATCGTACAATCCCTAGCCAATGACTTGTTTGCGTCTCAAGGACAGGTGAAAAGATTGCGGTCGAGGGTGCGGCGTCTTGGTCAAAGGGTAAAAAAATCATGTCTTTGGTCCATTTTGGTGTTATATAAATATTCTTTGTGTTTGTAACGTAGCCGGTCTCCCAACAGCCCTGCCTGGGATGCATTATTAAAAACGTTTGTTTAAATAATGTGACATTAGGAGCCGTGCCACACTTCAACACGGTGGGCTGATCAAGCTAAATAACCATCCCAACTCTCTCCCAGCCGAATAAAAATTTGACTCTACTTTGAGACTGTTGTGGTTCGACATGTTTTCTGATTGTGACATTTTACACGATCTGGGTGTGGTGCAAATATTGCCCCCAATAATTACGAACGTGGCCGTGTGCGCGTGGCTGTTTTTCCAGGGTAACTGCTACCAGCAACTGCCGACAGTATTGGTGCGGCGGCATTCCTCACTGAGCCCTTGAATTGGTTCACTAAAACACTGCCGAACTACGTGCCGATGAAATGGGTTTTCATAGCTGTGACTTATGTCAGTGTTGTGTGTGGGGGGGGGATTTATATTCGCATCGCATGTACTCTGCGCTCCTACACATTTATTCGTCTCTCCGGCAGCCTCTATTATGCCCGCGACGTAACCCAAACGGTACAGTCTAAAAAAGGTTTTGAAGTTTGTGCAACACGGACCCTGTGATGCTGTTAAAGGGTCAGCTTTACCTGAGTAACTGAAGGGGCTAACGTATTTCTGTCATGTGGTACCAGTTCCTTGAGGTCCTCTTTCAGAACATTTGGTATCTCGGACACCCGTTGCAGTGTCTAGCTGAACTGTGTGCTGGTTTTAGTTGACCGACCAAGAGGCGGCGGCGGACGAGGCGATTGAGCGACTCTGCCTGCGGTGTCACAATCTCGAGACGAGGCTGGCAGAGAAGCAGGCCATGGTCACTGCTGCCGCCAGCACACCGAGCCGATGCGAGGACGGCGATCAGCGAGGACGTCTGAGTCCCGTTCTGGAGCAGGGCGAAGACACTGAAGATGCGGAGGACGCGAAAATTGCACGTCTCGCTGATATCGAAGCGAAGTACTCCTCTCTTCTAGCCCTCTATGAAAACGCCCTGGAAAGGTTTGTTGGCTCTCCATTTCTTTCTCTCGCTCTTCTTCCTATTTTTGGTCTGAAAGCGTCTCCAGTCGGCTTCTTGTGTTCCATTTACTACCTCAAATGACCATTTACCTTTGCCAAACCCAACTCCAACGTGTCTATTTGTAATTGATTACGCTAGAGAATGCTATGGGCAGTATTTGTCTTGCCAATTAGAAGGCTATTGGCTCATCCTAGTCACACAACTAGACTGTGGTGTCTTTAATGGCTTCTGTAGCGCACCATTTTCGACCTAAACGACCGCCTTGATTTCAAAGTCGGCATCAGAAGCCTTCTTTATAGCAGTTTGTAGTTGTGAAACCGAATTGGCGTATTAGTTCTTACTGGGGAGGGGCAGTGGCATTGATTGACCTTAGTTCCTGATCATTCGTATTAGTAGATACACCACCAATTACTATTATTCTCTACTGATGCCGAATTAGTTTCTCAAAAATCAATTTACAGCCACTGTAGCAAGTCAAGTGATCATTTTTACCACATTCAACCTTCCAACAATTAGGTTTAGCCCTGAGGCAGTTTAAACTGCTGTTGACATTAGTCACTGAATTCCCCCGTGGCCGCTTTTGCCGTAGCTGAAGTGGGGCCGTCATTAAGCACCATAGTAAACATGCTGGCAAGAGATGTGTGTGTCCAGCAAGGCAGACGAACCTCCTTGTGGAAGCTAAACGTGAATAATTCGTTCGTTGGAATCCCTTCTTCTATTTAGGCAAGAAATTCTAGAACGAGAACTTGCCGTTATTGGAAAAGGCGAGCAGAAGACTACTGTTGCAGTTGAGTGCCAGACCGACCCGGTGAGTCCATAATTTTTTCCTTTTTTTCAACATTTCGTTACCCATATATCCCACCGCGTACCCTCTTAAAAAAACGCCACAGTTTTTCATAAGGAAATGATTTATTTGAGTACTAACGCATGTTTTAAATCTGAATTTCGAATTTTAAATATTATTATGATTTTTAAAAAATGCGTAAGCCGATGTGGACTGCTTTGTTGCCTAACCGTATGTCTTCTTTTCTATCAGGACCTTCAGGTAGATGAAGATTCCACAATCGAGGAAAGAGGTATGTCGGTCATTTAAAAAGCAGTGTTTTTACGTTTAAGTGAAAAGGCGTCTTTTTGACTAGTGCAATGCAATTGTCGCAGACAAATAACTCCCCGACCATATTTAGAGCCCAACAATGCCGATCGCTAAACGTGTCCCAGACTGATAGGCACTGTTGTTACTGAACGAATTCACGGAGTGTTCTTATTGTTAGTGTAAGATTGCTGCTTGTTATTCACTGACACTAGATGATGACGATGCATCCTCGTGGCAGTCGGTTATCAGACGCCCAAAGAGCGGCACTTTGGTAATTTTATGCATGAACCGCATTTAGTTGCATTTGCTGCATGCCTCCGCGTTTCCGCCTCTCGTTGAAGCCGACAACAAGCAAACGTCATCGCTCTGAATTTGATTTGCACGTGTGACTCGGTGGTCTCTCTAACACAAACTGCTGGTAGTAAATCTGTAGTGAACTGGCAAAGCCTAGTAGACGAACATCCTCGTATTCATTAGTCAGCCGATGACCTTGGCACAGGAATGTAATCGTCTGAATAAATCACGAGAATTAGGCTATCGCAAATCCACCATCCACTTGGCACCCAGAGGTTCATTTCCATGGCAAGAAATTTGATGTTTCTGGTTAACCGGCAACTTTCTAACTACAAAATACTGATTTGGTCTGAGTACATTTTCAACAATTAGTGTTAAAACTCTTAAATTCTACATTTTCGGTTTAGTACAAGTGAAATAGGAGGGGAGATTATCGTTAATTCTCTTTGTGTGCACAAAATGGCGTCAAGTACGTTGCGCACTACGTTAATTATAAAACGTAGGTGAAAAATGCATTGGAGTCAAGCACCAGGGTAGATCTGAGCACGCGGGTACTCCGGAGGTTTCGAGTTGAAAAGGTGTTGCGCTCTTTTTGGCTTAAAAACTATTCAAGGACTCCTCTTTTAAAGTCACCGTTATTGTCGTGGAGGAGTTTTCCTTTGGTTTTCTCTTAATTTTGCACAATGTCCTGTCGGTGTTCGTGTTGACAGCTAACGAAACCAATCGACTTGTGGCATATTTTGCTGTTCTTTGCATTCAAAAGCAATCCTCTTGGGCCTGCACGCGGATGTTGGGTACAGGTGTGGCTCTGGCTACACACCTTACAATGCTTATTTTTTGCGGATTTTAAAATCGAAATATTTTTTGTGGTATTTTGTGGTTTCGAAAGGATCGGGCGTAAGGTTTCAGAACACCGAACGACAAGTCTGTGTGAGTTATATAAACCCTCAGAGTTTACGACGATGGCAACTGATGAACAGCACATTCAATGGTACTGCATTTTAAACGAATTTCAACAAGGAAAAATGCTTTTAAAGCACGGGAGAATCGATTTGCAGTGGTCTTGGTTTTGACGTTGTGTCGTGTGAAACATGTGATTATTGGTATAAACGTTTTAGAAACGGCCATTTCGGCCTTAGCGACTAGCCGCCCCTCTCTGGACGGCCTTGAAAAGTTGAAGATGCGGAATTGCAAGCTCCACTGAATGTAGACTCCACACAAACACAGCAAAAGCTTGAAGCCCACTTAGGAATCACCCAAACAGCTATTTCCAAGCGTTTGCATGTTGAAATGGAAAAATGCAAAACTTGGAAGTTGGGTCTCCCCACATGTGTGTTGGTCGAGCACAACCTTAGGCCAACGCATGAACACATGCCTTTCACTGCTTTTCCGCCGACACCAAGCTGTGAATGGACCTCTTGTGGAAAATTGTGACGGGTGATAAAGCTCATCTTGTTTACGGGAATCCCAAACGCAAAAAAGGTGTCGTGGGTAGGTCGCGGGCAGCAACGCAGTGCATCGACGAGGGAACAGGAGACCCACTTGAAGAAGGCTCTCATGTGTATCTGGTGGGAGGACATGAAGGGTGTGCTTTTTTATGAAGTCTTAAAAACTGGCCAGAAAATGACTACGGAACAGTACAGACGACACTTGAACAAAGTGAGCGAAGAACTTAATCAGAAAATACCGTTTACTGGGGAATGTTTCCCCACACGCGGCATCTTCACTGGACTCGGCCCCATCCGACTACCATTTTTTTCGGTCAATGCAGCAGCAGCAGCAGCACGCCTTAGTGTACAAGCAGTTCAAAACGCTGGACGATGTGCTAACATTCGTCCATGACTTTATTGCCTCGAAGCCTGCAAGTTTCTTTGGCAACGGCATTTGCACGGTACTTGAGAGATGGCACAAGGTCATTGAATACGATGGACAATATTTCCAAGATTAAGTTCGCTGTCCTCGATTTTCTCATGTTAAATAAATTTGCGCAGGAGGCTCGCAATCACAGAGTACACGATGTGTGGCGTAGCGCAGCTGCTTAGCTAGGCCGTTGTGTTTGGAACCGGCTGGTGCGTCATTTTAGGTGGCAGTGTGTGTTTGTGTGTGTGGGTGGGTTTTTGAGTGGCACCGGGTACGACGAGGCGCCAAAACACTCGTCCAGTCTACGCGCTCGCGTACTTGCGCGGAGGCGGCGCCCAGGTTTCTCTCATAAATTTTACTTCGACGTTCAGGTTCGTCTGCGGACGTACCTAAATCGTTCTGTTGTTTCCTAAATATGCAAAAATAAACTGTCAGGTGACAGCTTATTCCGCTATAAAGAACACATTCCTCTGTTTTGTACCTTAATTTTACTATTCAGTTACTCAGTTACAGATTGCGAAATCACGCAAAACACAGCAACGATGTTCCAAGGGATGTACTTGGTGCGGCTTTGCTTACTTTTTTTCAGTAGCACCCGAAAAGGTTCTTTCCAAAGTGGTTCTTTCACAACCACTGTAGTGGCAACTATTTTGGTCTTTAGCACCATTACGCAACCGAGAACCGTTTGGCTCCTAAATTAGCACCAACAATTCGCGCCAATTCGAAATCAACCCGCTTCGTTTTATCCGAATTACGTACCAGGTGCCGTATTTCGTTGTTTGCATTAGCATGCACAGGCTCCACAATTCATGTTTGATATCATTTATCGCCAGATACCCTCACCGGTTTCACACCCTTGATTCGACGTTGATGGTGCACGAAACACTGGGTACCAAGTCCTGCGTCAATTTTAAGAGGCTGTTGCAAACGCAAGCCTCAGGACTTTTTGTCACATTTAGAGCAAACACTTAGGGGGCTCCCTTTTGAAACATGGATGATCGAGTGACACTAGGTGTGTTGGTTCTCACGGAAGTGTCGATGCATTTCTATTTTTATGACTCTCATTCAATACACAGCAGTGGGTCTCATTTTGCCAAGTCCCTGGGTAATAATAAAACGCTCTTTTCGGCCTTAAGGACGTCAGTGAGGTGAAGGGACCACCACTGGCGAAATTCGTGACATTTCCAGGAAAAAAATTACTAATTTTATACGTGCACCACTTGTGGCCTTTCCATCACACTGTCGATTTCGGAATTTCTGAAGCTGTAACCACTAAACCGGTGTCAGTTTTGAAAGCCCCGATTCCCCATCCGATTATGCAACTTCCATTTTTGTGTTCGCTGCATGAACTTGACCCGATATGAGCCTTTTTTAAAGTAGACGTGGTGCATCCGTTGATTAGCTGTAAGCTGTCGGCCTTGAGTTTGCCTTTACTGGGTCCTGCCCATTGCCTCTTGCGTTTGCCAGCCGGCTCCAGTCATGATCGACGAGCGCTCAATAATGGCGCCCCCCCTGAGGCCGTGGCCCGGCCCCACTCCGCCAGCCTCCCGCCCCGAGACGAGCCCGCCGTCGTTGGGGCACCAGTGACGCCCGAACGTCGACGACGCAGTCTAGACACCGACGCTCCTCCACGTCCCCCCAAACCGCCCGCCTTCCCTTCTCCCCTCGCCAACCAGAACACCTCAACAGGCAAACTGAACCTCGCCGCTCTGCCCGACTCGGAGCGACCGCTCTTAGATAGACAAAACCCCTTTGTAGCCACCGATTCTTATCACCTGTACGAATTTCACATGCAACGCCTCAAAGTAGGAACTAGTGGTGCATTTGCTCGAAAACGGCTTCCCTCCCGATTAACTGTAAGTGCGTTTTGCAAATGTATTTTGTGTAGCCATTGCTTTTAACGTGGTTGTGTAGTGCGTGAGCCCATTTGATGACAAATTTCGTTGCTGTATGTGTTACTTCGTTTTTGTGCATTTTTAAATACCCTTTGTAAGTTCTCCCGCGTGTCCTGCATTTGATGAAGTTCTTTTGTTAACGAACTCCTTAAGAAATTGGTTTCAACAAGAGGTCGAACCACTGAGTTGGCGCTAAGTGGACGAAGCTGCCTCTGGATCAGTAGTGCTTGCGTGCACCCTTATGCGTCCTCAAGTAGGTTTTGGCGCTAGTTTTAGCCTAATCGGTTCACGATTCCCACAGGGGTGGACTTTAGACTCTTCTACAGCTGCGCAAGTGGGGTGAAACCTTGAACAGAAAAGTCACTTTATCAGCCTTACGTGATTGCGCCCTTACTTTGAGCTTACGATTCAATGGGAAGCATTTCTGTTTACGCCTCATTAATGAGATTTCGATGACGTTTACTTAAAACTGGGGAAATAACTCACTGTAGCTACCCTTAACTAATTGTCATATTCGAGACAGCACATTGATTCACGCTGCGGAAACCTGGGGCCAATCTCCGTAACCTGTTTGCAACTGGGGTGGGGTCGACCACTCAAGGCATTCAGCAGTAGTCGAAAGAGATGGCAATCAGTTGGCAGCGGGTACGTGTGAGTGAGGCAAAAGTGTCGCCACCCTCACTTCTGCTGCTTGCAGTCCGGCGTTGTCGGGTCAAAAGGGGGTCAGGTTTAGCGTTAGCAGGTCGCATGAGAAGCTGTTCTGAAAATCGCCGAACGTGAGCGTCGAATAACGCTCGCAGCGTTACATCGCTCAGGCCTAAATCGGTACATCGCTCATGAACCCACTTGGTAACCCACCGTGGTGAACTTGGCGAATAATCGATTGCGTTTCTTTTCTGTTTAGCGGCCCAGCCGAATTGAGCCCTCTCCTCTAACCTAGTAAGTTTTTTCGTCTGCTTGCTGCAGTTTAATGCACTTTTTTGGAGTAATGACCAGCATTTTTGGCATTGTTGTAGCGCCGCCTGCACCACGCCTGCACCTCAACCAAGTCACAATTCCGGTACGTGTCGATTTGAACCAACAATACCGGAACAGTTGAAAACACGATTAACTTGGTGTTAGTGTGTTGTAGGAATTTCAATAGTCATTTTTTGAAAAGTGCTAAAGTAAATCAAAGTTGTTTTTTTAAACTACGTGTCGCAATCAGTTCTTAATGCAAGCCAAAGTAAGCCGCATATTTAACAACCGTGCATTAAGTCGTCCCCTAATTTACCTCTATTCTGACATGCCGTCTGTTTCTTTTAAAAGAACCCCTATTCCCCAATCGCCTTGCTAGAGGAGTCACCTCTGCCATGCTTCCTCACCGTCCACACGTTGTTTTCTGCTTGCTTGATTTACCAGAAACTTGCTGTCTTAGTCTCTTAGACCCAGTGATTGCTAATACTTAACGCATTCTCTCTGCTTCTCGACTTGTGAGCGGTTAGTCCAAACATTCCCTGGCAGATGTTGAGACGGTAGAGTAGTCCCCGGTGTTTCCTCGGGTGCTTACACGCGCACAGATATCTTATACTCAAGAAACGGGTGGGTTTGGTTGCGGCCTGCCTAATGTTGGCACTCGTGAGGAATTTAATTACGCCTAATAAGCGGTTTTTGCACCTAATCGAAGCAGACACGCACACACACGCTCGCACTGACTCGAGTGATGGTGAGTTGCTCGTTGGTGATGACTTTGCCGCCATGTTAAACATCGCCACTTAACTAAATCTCAAACACTTTTTTAGCAGTTGTGAAGTTGTGAGCTTACGAAGTCACGCAGTACATCGGCAATATCAGATTCGTGCACGAGTAATGCAATTACTAAAATGTCGTTTATTTTAACAATATTGAATGTCATATCTACTAATTTATACAAATATTTAGCTAAGGTTATATCCACGAATAAGTGTTTTCCCAACCATGATCTTCTGTTTTTGAGGTATAAGCTTAGCAAGCGGACATTAGTTTAGCGCCGTAGTAAAGCTGGTTCATGTTACACAGGCGGTGGCGGGTTGCAACAGGTTATCATGGAGAAAAAAAGTTTATTTCCGGGGGCGTTTGTGAACGGCACTTTCACTTCGCAGTGGCTTTTATTCTGTTTACTGCTCAAATCGTGTAATTTAGCAGTGCATTTAATAATGTTCATGTTCGTTGTCTCAGGGTCGCTGGCCATTTGACTAGGTGCAGTTTGACCGTGTGGGGGCTTCAGCTGGCCGGCGGTGCTGTCGCGGGCAATTTGGATTTGCATCTTACACATTCGAGAGTCAGACTTCGTTTGAGCCAATAGTTCAGCTGCCACAATGTTGTCTCACTTTGCGCTTCCGCATTAGCAAAACACGCAAGAAATTTTCGAATTAGGGGTTTGCGCTCCAGCGCCTACGAATAACTACTCGCGATTTAAGTAGCATAAACGTCCTATGGACGCTTGTTTTAGGTTAACACCGCATCACACCATTTGGGCTGCCTGAATTGCAGTCTTTTGTTGAATTTGTTCAACTTCGACTGGCTTGCCACCTAGTCATCAGTGTGTTATCCAAGGAAGCACACTGATGGTTTAAATGTTCGTAGTTCGTGTAGTCGAAGCGTTTCTTGTGTGTCGAAGCCTCAGTTTGTATCTGGAGATGCAGGAATCGCTTAGTACTCGACGACTCAACCATCTCCTCAAATGCTGTAGCGTTTGCCATTTGCTGCTGATCGACACACCGGCAGGTGAAACTTGGGCGCTTAAGACAAAAAAATCCAGTAAAGATTTGTATGGTTGATGCTCGATTGCTTCTGTGGTGTTGATGTTTGGAAGTAAGAATGACCGCAGCCGCTGCTTTTGACTGCTGTCAATCCTCCACGTTGGCCGAAAGCGGCTAAGTCGACTTAGGAAGCTTCGTTTTGGCCTTTTCCTCGCCTTAGTTTGTTTATTTTCCGTGCTTCCTGCTCTGCTAAGTAACGTTACCTTCCCCAAGACTGCTGTTCTTTTAAGTAGGTGCCTATTTAGCATCCCGAGAGGCATTGCATGCCTAAGGCAATTGTTTTGCAGGCATTTTTTGCCAAATTCCAAATGCAAGTCGTGCAGCAAGTACGAAGCTGGAAAACACAGGAACACGGCCAAATACCTGTGCTATGGAAATGCAGCGGCACTATGCGCCAAGCGCTCTTATTTTGAGGGCAGGTTTCATCTCTTGTTGACTCGCACAGTCGCCCAAATTTCCTTGGGGCCCATTTTTCATCCGTCGGTTTAAATGACATCAGATAGTCCAGTGGCTGTCTGGGTGTGTTGTGTAAGCTCTAATATCCAATTACAACCACGGCGAGTAAACCAGGCATTTGTTTTTTTGTGGACATCGCTTTCTCTCACTGATTCCGACTTCCTTGGTTTCAGTTGGAAACCTCGGTCGGTTTGTCTTTCCCCGGAGTAAATCATCCTATCCGTTGTAGACTGCACTCCCATCCCCGAGCCCCGGCGACCCAAATCGGAATCCGTTCGGTCCTCTTTTACTCCCCATCCAAATTCGACCTTCCGCGTCCCATTAGCTGACCTTCGTGGTTCAATTGCTGGTAGGTCCATTATTTCGTGCAGAATCGTAATCGCTAACTCAATTAAAATGATTAAGTGTTGTATACTTAAAATAGCTACTTATGTGGTATAAGTAGTACATCTCTTGTGACGCATGCGCGCGTCAAAGGTTGCTTTGTCTCAAATCTCGAATGAAAATTTTCCTGTTTTTAGGTCTAAAGCCGGTTAGTGAGCGATTTGCAAATGGAACTACCCCCTCCAATGTTGCATCACCGTCGCTTCCTATTTCTAAGAATTCCGCCTTCTATCCTACCGGGCCGCATCCATTAGTTGACGCCTTCCATGGTGCGCTTCACACCTTTTATTACAATTTTTCTCATGATGGGGGCTTTCACCATTTCCCCTCAAGTTAAATATGTGATTCGTTTTGAAGTGAACATTTTGGGCAGGGTGTTCTAATCCACTGCACCTGTTTCCTTTCACGCAGGTGACCATTCAGGTGAATCTGCAAAATTCCGAACCATGTCGCTTCCCCACCGCCCATCCCAAAAAGAGGTAAGTATATTATTACTTAAATGCTAAATAGTACGCATTAATATACTAATTTGAATGACAGCTTAGGAGAAATGGCGCAGGCGCGTGCAATTCATGTAAGCCAACGCCTAGAAAATGAGTCAATCCAGCACTAATACTGCTCATTCATGCGTGACAAGAGGGCAAAAACAGCAACTCCGCCTTTTTTTACAGCAGAGTGTGCGCAGCCTAGACTGGAGAGAGTCTGCGCCTCCTGAAGGGCAGAGCCGCTGGCCTCTCCACCACTATCCCCGGCTTTCCCCGGCCTCAGCACCCCACACATCGCCTGTCAGGAATGCAGCAGACAACAGCAGCAGCAGCACAAAGCCCGCTCCGACGCACGACACCGTCTCGCCGCTTTTCCCACCACCCACTCCTGAACGACGCCCCGTCCAGTCCTTCTATGGATACAGTACGTTGCCTCCTTGCGTGCTGATTGCAAGCCAGACGATAAGGGTACTGTTTCAGTAACTAGTGCTTAGTGTGTATCAAACATCATTGTCCCCGACCGTCTAGTACACTTGTGTTGTCGGATTTTAAACGCAACTCGGTTTTCGCCCACCTAGATCCAAATGACCCCCTGCCCTACTGAACTCGAGATCCCCCGTCTCACTCAACCCAACAGCATTTTCCTACGCCTCTTCAATCAACGCGAATTCGGATGCAAAACACCGGTACCCCCCAGACCGCCGGTTCCTACTTCCTTCCTTCTTTTGTACTCGCCTGTCACACCCGTGTGGGCTGTTTCGTGTGTGTGTGCCCGTGTGTGATTTCTACGTGGACGTAAAACTGTTCTCATGCAACGACTCCCAACGCACTGCTCAAACCCCCAATAGTGTGCTCTACATCACGGACTCTGTCATCACGTTTCGCGTGCATTTAAATAGCATCTTATCTGTTTTAACTAGTTTTACTCCTTGCCAAAGAAAGCGAGAATGGTTTAGAGCAGATTAAACTTGAACAGGGAATAATAACTGCTTCAGCGTCGCTGAAGTTCACGGCTTACAGTGTTCACGCGAAACTATCAGATAACTGCGGAGGCGCGAACACGCCATTACCACATCGACAAAATCCCGATTAGTCAACGATCCGGTTAATTTGGGCGAAAAGTTGTTTCACTTTATAAATTCCTGTGATTTGAGTTATTTTGGTTCACAGATGTTAGCACCTGAGTTTGAATGCACAGCATTTAGTTGGGGATTGTGAAGGGACAGAATTCAAGGTGATTGATCACGCCGACTTTCCGCAATTAGGACACGATAACTTGCGTGTTTTTTTTAAGTTGTTGTGGGCCCCACTGAATTAACCCTGGCCCGATTAAGCTTGCCTGATGCCCGCGATGAAGAAGAAGACCGGAGATGACGGGACACAACCGTTTACTTCAGAGCTCAACCAAAACTGATGTTTTTGTGTCCGGTTTGCGCGTGTGTATTTATACCTCGGGTGTGAGTCATACATGCGCTAACACAGAGACCTAGGCGTGAGGTTAATCCAAGATAAATATCCATGTGAATGAGGGGGCGTTGAGGGCTTGCGCGGCTGTCGCCATGCTGCGAGAAGGGGAGCCTTGTATCGGAGGCGAATCGATCAGATTAAGGAGTTGAATAAACACGATTCACAACAAGGTTACTCAGTAGGTAAAGATCGACTTCAAAATTATGTGGGGAATTAAATAATTCAGAACGAAAGCAGTTTCAGAGGGCTTCGTTTGGCAGAGCTTATTATTTACACAAATTAAGGCACAAACATGAGCATTCACGATGGGTCAAGTGAAGGAGCCCTTCTAGGCGTCCTGATCACTGAAACTCCTGAATGGACGTCGGAATAGTCGAGCGATCCCCCCGAATCGAAGTTGGCCGGACTCCTTGCGGCCACCCAGTCCACCTCCGAGGCGACGCGGCTTCCAACCTGGGAGGCTTCGACTGAAGGAAGGCTCCAGTATCATCTGTGGGTTGAGGGGAGCACGTCACCGAATAAGTATTAAGTCGCATATTTAAGTAGTAAGGTCGGCAAGTGCACCACCAACAACTGGCCCAGTTGGATTCGTTGTGCATGCTAGAGCCGTCGTATAGCAGATGTGCGTAACTCTGGCGATGTAATGGGTCTGTAGCTTGTATCTACAACTATTTCTTTATTGAGTGAAATATTGAAACACGGAAGGTACTTTTGAAGTAGTTTTTACATGACTGATCGCCAGATACCACTAAACAGAGGATGAAATTGAAAGTGCTGACCATCAGCTTACTCGAAAAATAAGGACAACACCAGGGGGATCAGTGGGTCTCTGTTCCTTATCTGTCTTGATTTGACAAAGTGACTAGGGCATTCTATGACTTCAGAATAAGGCTCACGGTGGTGTTGCCTTAAGAAAGCACGTTTTAAGGAGCTGTGGGAATGATACTTATGTCGAATTAGCAAGACCTACTGGCAAGATCTACTGAAGAGCGAACAAACAAGGGAGCACGTGGTAAGTGAAGGAATCTCCGCATGTAAAAGCTTTGATTCAAATGTGCCATTAGGAAAACCCACAAGCATTAGCAAATGCCAGAATGTTGGGATATTTTAAACCAAGGAAAAAGTGTCAAAGCAGAACGAGTGGTGCGAGGGCTTTTTAGCCTACATTATTGTCGCCGCGATGGTGTGGCTTGATGTTGGTGGTGTTCTGGTAAGTTAAAAAGGGCGGTTAAGCAGCAGTGGATCAAGTTCTGCCTCTTCCTTTAGACAAGATAGCAATCACAGCCTGATACGCCCGCATTATACCCACCTCCGTCTACAGCGACACCTAAGACCGAGGGGCCAGCTATACAATCAGGCGATAGAAGCATAAACCCTTTATTGCTAATCCCTGCCCTCGACAACCATGTTATCACCAACGGAACCAGTGTTTACCTAGAGCGCCAACGCATTATCGACTCACAGATGTGAAAACTAGCAAATTCATTCGAAGCATGGTGAAAAATAAACAAGTTAAAGCGACAATGAATAGGGAGGTTCTGTTGGGACAGCCTTGTTATCCTAGATCGGGTGGAACAAATTATCACCAACGGAACCTGTGATTACCTAGAGCGCCAACGCATTATCCGATTACGGATGTGAAAACTAACAAATTCATTCGAAGCATGGTGAGAAAAATAAACTAGCAAAACCGACGGCACATCGGAGTTCCTGTTGCCCTTTGACTAACGACAGCATTTACCAGCAGAGACCATCCGCCATAGCTCAGGTTTTTGCGGTCAGAGCAAAAGCGCGCGAGTGCAGGTAAGACGGAAGAAAAACTGGTGTTTCGAGGTCAACAGGCCAATCAGAGCGTGAGCTATCACCGCACCATACTATCGATTTGTTGGTGCAATTAACATTTCCGCAAGCTAAGAGACAACGTGTGTGTGTGTGCTGTGAATATTTCAGGTATGACCAGCACACTCTTCAGCTCACACAAGCCATCAAGGGTTAGGGTAGTACACGTGAGACGGCTTTTTTCCGTCAAGGCTTTCAATGATAAGTGTGAGGCCTGATTACTGCGTGACGCGTTGATATGGCAACACCACAATTTTAAGGGTTTCCGATGCGCAACCAAATGTGCTCACACACATACTCCGCCAACAATTTGCATCCTTCGAAGATGCTGGAGTACTATTCAGCGGAAAAAAATCCTTGTACTTTGTAGAAAGCACAATGACCTGGTTTAGTTAACAAAATCTGGTAAAAATACAGAGCTCACCTTAATGAGCTTTTACACGGTAAACCAAACTAATCACTGTAACGAACCCATGGAGCACTGGCAAATGAAATTATGCTGACGTCTGATGGAAGCGAGTAGAATGTGGATACTGCCTCCATGACCAATGATTGGCCATCGAGACACCTCCAACCCTGTCCTCCACGAAACACACGAAAACTAAGTGATTGGGTAGTGGCAAAAAAGAAAACCGACTTTTCTCTCTCTGTTTTGAGCCTGAGGTCCCATTAAGGCAAAACAAACTGCGCAAATCCCTGTCCATGGGTTCCACGGTTTGGACCATCATGGGTGGAACACGTTTAGTGCAAGAAACACGTCGACGTTTGGGCTTAATCTCAACACCAGACACTGTCACAGGTTATCGCAAATTTTTGGTGTGAACTTTGCATCGCACGGCTTCCGATTGAAAGTTATCACAAAAGACACTGTGGGGGTGACATGAACTAAATATAAGTCAACTGGAGTTAAAACTACTGCTCATGATTTTAAAATGTCAACGAATTCGGCTTTATAGGTCGGATTTAAGGGGCGAGAGATCCAGAGAGCAAATCTGACGACGCACCGGGCCCACATTACACATTCACGAATAAACGTCCGTTGCCATTGCGTTTGGTGACCGCAAGCACTTAATCCCAATTAAGTCGAAGACACTTGTTGTTGCGTAAAAAAATCTGTGATTTGTACTACTTTGGGATCATTCAGATGTAAGCACACCCTGGTATCACCGCCGTTCAGTCGTGATCCCCCGAAATGATTGTGTTTCCGCATTGTCATCCGTCTACTCATACAGCCCCCTTTATCCATTCGTCTCTGTAAACATTCCCATGACTCGATGTAACTCAAATCGGCCAGATAGAGTCGAAAATGAAGTGGGCAAGTCCTTGCAGGATCTCATCTACTCACAATCCATTGAGTACATTGGCTCCGCATCAAGTGTTTGAGCCATACTCGCATTAAAGACACAGAGTGCTAAGCATTCAATGAAAGAGGCATACCACGTCAATTTTAACACACTAAATCGGTTTAAATCTCATTGATTTACTCGTTGGCACCCACGAATTCAGCTGATCGAGCACACTCGCCTTGACAACTAAACATCTCTGCAAGCGCGGTTACAAAACCACAACTGACGTCGAGCGTGTTAATCAACATCAAGTGGTTAACATTTTACACAACGCCAGTTTCAATACAAGGAAACATGTCCATGTCGTGAAATATGAATGAAGGAATCCACTATAAACCGAGGGTTGTAGTGTTCTTTTCCAAAAAGATTTGTTCCCCGGGTGCTGATTATAGTGGGTTCTGATTTTCAACAACTATTCATCGGAATTCAGGAAAGCTAGAGGAGTTAACTATGGTAGACTTTTAATCCATAGAGGCAGAGAATGAGAAAAACGATCATCCTACCTGTTCCCACCCAGCCATGTCACCGAAAATCCGACTCAGGTCGATACGTGTTCGTCGGTCACCAGAGGGCTGCTTCCAAAACGCATTCGACTCCCGCCATGCCATTAGGACGCGCTGGGTGTCCTTAGCTGACTTGAACCAGGCGAAGGCATACCTACGCGATTCACCTGTGATGGGGTCTTTAATGATGCGGACCAGAGGCCAAAGCGAGGCAACGTGATCGCGGCTTTCGCTGCCTGTGTCAGCAAAAGGAGAACGTGAACGCGGCCGTTTACTCCGACGATGGCGGCGACTGCGACGCTCCTCTTTAACTTCTCTAAGGAGGCGGAAGAGTGCAGATCGAAGTTCATCGCATTCGACTTTGGGGTGAAGGCGACCGATGAAAAGAGAAACCTGGTGGGGTGGGAACGCGAGGGGTATCGTGGGTAACATGGGGTGTGCACCACGACACAGAAAAAGGAAACAACATCTCAACACTTTAATCATAGTTTGTCCAATGCAGTAATCCTTTAAAGACTTTGAGCAGTCACAGTTATCAGAGCGACCGGGTCGGTAAATCGATAGCAAATGCTTACATTAAAAGTGCTAGACGATTATTTAAGTAATCAGGCATTGGATTAGACCAATATTGGTTGTATTTAGAAAATTATTCTTCTCTTATCGGTTATCGATTATTAAAAGCAATTATCAGAAAACGCTCATAATATTATCATACGGGAATTCATGCTTACATCGGTTGCGAGATGACAAAAAAATATGAACCTCCAGCGGATACAGAGGGCCGCATTGACCACACAGGCTAAAGGGCATTTTATAATCTATGTAGTAAACAGAACAACTCGAAGACTCAGTGATTCGCATTATAAGTCGTAGTTCTGGTGTTTCAAACAGCGAGGCACCGGTTCTAAGTAGCAACCAGCTGCTACCTTTGTAGTGCTATCAACTAATCGGAGGGAGTAAACCTAATAAAAACCTGATTTCTGTAACAGGAGCACCAGTGTCAACATTATCGAGAGTATATCTTGTGAATGCTACTGTCGATGAAGTACAGGCTTGAAGAACTATTCCGGCCTATAGTTCCACACCGATTAATTGGGGATTGACCCGTTTGCCGAATGTTCGAGCCCTGTTCCCGCACCCTTCATCATACCAACTGACGCAACAAGACCACACACAGGAGCCTTGTAAAGTCTCTAAGCGAGACTTTGTTACAAGAAGCTGTTTAGTTCAAAAAAAAGATTTACAAAAGCACAATATGCCAAAGGACAAAGAATCAAAGGAGAAATGGGTTGCTGGGTGCAAGAGTACGAGGAGGCAGGTAAAACTGAACAGCATTAGATGTGCACATTTCACGATTCAAAGCCTAATGATAAGTAATTTAACCAATTGAAGTCTCTCAGCGAACCGTCAATCTTCCACTGAGGTGAAGAAAAGTTCATTAAAGTTCAAAACCTTTCAGGGCAATAAAGGGAATAACAAAACCACAAAAGGTGAATTTCCGACAAAATAAAACGGCAACGGCTTATTCCTTAACCAGAATGCAGAAATGAAAAGCAATTACGGGATAATTAGAATTTCTCAAATTGAAAAAGCGACCTCTTTCACATAGGTTAAACCTGAGAACCCTAACCTAACGGCTTAAAATAGTTCATAAGAGTTGCTTTCCTAAGGACATCTATTTTACCGATAAACGTGATATAAACCGGATTCACAATGAATGAATTAGTTGTGAATAACCACGTCGGATAGCCGAAAAGAGTACGCATATTAACGCACTTCAAAAAGGGACTAGAAAGGGCTACATAATTGCGAACAACACACACAGTTTAGACGCAGACCACAGGAATAAATTTGCGACTATGCACAGAGTTCTGTCAACCGAAGCTCTATCCTTTAAAACAGCATGAAGCAGTTTGGCATCACTTACACTAGAGGGATCCTCATCCTTCCACAAATTGAAGACCAGTTCAGGAAACGCACCCTCTGTGGGTCGGTATTGTGCAACCTTCGCCCTGCAAACGGCTCTGTCATGTGGTGGAATGTCATCGCCCACAGACCCGTCTATGCTGCCTGATTTTATCGGGTCATAAAAGCCCCAATCGGAAACATGGGGATACCAGGAACCCTAAAACCACAGCAACGAATCCCATATTCGAATAGAACATTCAAACGCAGAAACAACCCTACTAACCATCACAGACGAAAACGAACACACGACTGATGACACGTCACCCAAACCTTTAGGATAAAAAAACTGGAGAAGGCTTTAAAGAGTAGATTTCATCACATACGTATATTGTTTCAGTGGTTACGCAGTTATGTTATGTATCAGTGCACCAAAGCCTTACAAAACAAACTGCAGGCAGGCGAACTAGCGTAGCCATGTTCAGAAGAAGGGGAAGAAACAGGGAGTAAATGAGTTTACTGACGGGACGGACAAACCGGAGAAACACGCACGCGTAGTGATGGGATTTGTTGTGGGAGAATACGCGTGCAAGATATTTTTTTTGGGGGAAAATGGTTATTTTTTACAGAATGGAAGATGTAAGGGCCTGGTTGAGAGTTCAGTGCTGCGGCCTTGCATGCATGGGCACCATTCCACCGGGACCACCCATGGCAGACGATGCTACAGTTTGAGGCTGGTGCTGATTTTGAACGGATGCAGCAACAGCAGCATTGGCCATGTACTGCAATTGATACAACGAGAACTGATTGGGTGGTTGGGGCTGAGTATTGGATGTGGCGGCCGGCTGAGGCTGAGAAGTCTGTTGTGCGGCTGGAAGAGCAGAGGTTTGCTGCTGAAGCTTGCTAGTCAGCAGCAAGTCTGTTCCACCTGCTTTGGATACTTGCTGGGTCGATACGCCATACATACCCTGAGCATTGCCACTACCGCCATGTTTGAATCCAACTAGGCACAATAGAACAAACGTGAACAACGCGAGATACGAAGAAGCTAATCAAAGCGAAGCACACAGAAAATAACAAACAAGGAAAAAATAAGGAACATAAAGAACTTATGAGCTAAACTGACGAGAATCCAAATCAATTTACGATTTACATCGCATCACAATTACAGCAGGCTAGCGTTAGTAAAATCATTCACAGGAAGGAGCTAGAGCTGGAGTTAGTAAACCAAAGTCTGACCAACTACCATGACAAAAATTAAACAGGCCCTGAATCAAAAAAATCGCGAAGCATTACTCTTAAGAAATTAACTTAAACTACCAGGCTAAAAGGAGGCATACGAGCCCGATGACAATGTGGCATGCTCAAACTTGAGAATAACGACAAGTTGAACAAAGCCCGTGCTAGGAACGCACGAGCAAGGCAGTAACGGGACTTTTCTTGTTCTTATATAGACATCTGCACTCTACCTACTTCTAACGTCACTGGGGAAATATACATTCTAATGAGAATTTGTAACTTCAACTGTGCCTACTCGCGAGTGAAAAAAACAAGTGTACGTAGTATTTCTTGGAGAATCAACAGTCTAAGCACCTTAACACCACACAGTTTTGGGCTATCAAAAAGTCGATATGCACAATAAAGATAATCATTTTGATCTTACTCGGTTTTGTTAAATTGGAATAAAACATATCTCCCATTTCTTCGAAGTTGGTTTGCCGAAGTCCCTGGTAAGGGGCATAATTTGGAGCGGCACTCATAGCTTTGGCATATTGTGGCTGATTAGACTGATGTGTCAGTGGGGAGCCACCATGACCAGAGCTTTGGCTGGGCGACCCACTGTTTTGAGAAGCTTGTTGTTGATTCAGGAAAGCGTTAGGATACCCGTTCTAGGAAAGCTAATCAACTGAAAGACAAACCTTACCATTAAGACCATCCCATGGTACGGAAGAAAAGTAAAACCATGACCGACATTAGGAGTCGTTACGTGATGCATCGGGACGCTAGATTTTGATGATGGTAAAACATCAGCGCAAGTATTGGGGAGATTCGGTTCAGTCGCAACAGATTGGGACTGTTGCTGCTGTTGAGACTGCTGTAATTCAAAAAGCATGCGCTGCTGTTGTTGTAGAGCCTGAAGCTGATCAAGGTCAAACAAATGGGGGGCAGCAGTCCCAGAACCACTCGGCAGATTGTACATGGGAAAAGTAGTTTGAAATTGACTAAGTAGCTGCGGCAATCCTGGATGCATCGCAGGATGAAGTTGTGGCTGAGTTGTAGACAGAGGTTGTTGGTTGGCGCTTGGAGGCATTGTGGAAACCGGTTTATTTATCTGGGGAGGTTGGGAAACAACCGGTTTCGCTGGTTGCATTGAGTGATACGAAGGTGGCATAATCACCTCCGGCTGATTTGACGATAAAGATTGGGTAAAGGCATCAGATTTTCCGGATTGAGGCTCCAAGCCCACCTGTTTTATGTTTTGAGATAATTCACCGAGTAAGTTATACTCATAAGGACTTGGATTTTCAAAGTTATTCACGGGTTGGTTTGGCGGACAACTAGGAGGGGACTCGTGATCTTGAAGCTTTGCATAAGCTTCCTTGAGCGCCGAAGTATTTTGAATGGCAGCTGAATATGCATGATCCGTTTGTAAATCTTGCTGCAGTTTGGGAATTGGATGAAGAAGAGTGGTCATTACAGGCGAAAAACCACACTGATTTTGAGCTTTAAGTCTGTTTGACGCATCAGTAAGTTGATTCTTTGTTCTAGGCTTTCTTTCAGGATGGTGATCCGATTTTAACGGTTCCAGATTTTGAGGCGGATTGGTACAAGGAAACTCAAGTTGACGCAACGGGGAAGTGTTTTGAGTTTGCGTAGTCCCACGCTCCAGAGCCTGTGCACTTGGGCTTACAACAGAGTTCCTAGAACCTGGCGCAAAGAAAACTGGAACTTTCGGAATGTGTGACGAGGGAGGCGGGGCACTCCTTGCGTAAGTGGAGAACAGCCAGGCTTTAATAGACTCTACTGATTCTCCACTAGCTTTTACCGGTTTAGATTGTTGAGACACGTCAGCGCCCCTGTCCTCAGCTAACGCACCACCACTAGCTTTTTCGGGTTCATCTTCCACTTTAATTTCTTCAATATCACTAAAAAAAAATTCGTGACACAACAAGCACTAACCTTGGCGTTTGTTGTGGTTCTGGAGAATCACAAGTAACAAGCCTTAGAAGTTCACTATCCTCATGAATATTCACTTTTAAACTGGACGCCGAGTTGACGACCTCAATGGCCTCTCCTCTCCATTCACCACAATCCAAATCCCAATCTGTAACGTTAAAAAGACGAAATACGATATTTTTAATTAAAATATTTGAAGAACATTTACGGGTTTACGACGTGTGATTAAAATACGATGAAAACTCACTTTCATCCCGCTCAGCGTCTGGCTGAGTGGAAGCACTGTCAGGCAATAAGGAATCGCTGGAGAGCCCATTAGCTAAATTGGGAACTGCTTGGGGCTTGGCAGAACTTTTTTTAGTACTCACGCTATTTAGCGTTTTCTACAAATAGTCCCAGAAATTGAAAGAAAGCCTACCTGACTACGGAGATCTGACAAAGATCTGGATTCGTCGTTTTGTGATATTGATTCTGTATTGTTGGGCGCCGACAATGGCACATTAGGTTTCTAACGAAAAAGTAATGCTGAATCAGGAAACATTACCACTTCAGCTTGCTTTCGAGATCGTGATCTCTTAGTGACGGTATCTTTCCAATCATCGTTTTCAGACTTCTGATCAAGCAGATTTTCAATGGCGAGATGAACGTTATTGTCGGCATCATGCATGGCTGCAATAGCTTCATCCTTGGTACACGCCGTGCATTCTTGAATCTATTTAATCAAAGAAACACTTCCCCAACTGATTACCTGCTGTAGCTTAAACTCATAAGCATCAACGTCAATTTTTTTGTCTAGCAGCAATGCTAGATTGAGTTGTTCTACTGTTGCCTTCGGCATTTTCGAAGTTGAGGATCCCGAACCGGCTGCCTGTCCCTTTTTCGACTTGTTCCCCTTTAGTAAATCGTTATTCTTAGGCATATGTACACTATGTACAGGAGACCGAGAACTCAAATACGCAACACTGATGCTCAAATGTGCCGCCAAAACCCCGGATGTCAATAAGTGTCAAAATTAGAAGTTCAAATCAAACAGGTGCCTTGGGTAAGCAGAAATTTAATGCAACTATGGTCAAAAGTAATATGTTGAAACAATTATTAAATACTTGCAGCAGATTTAAAATTTGTGTAAATAGTTCTGCAAACCAAAGTAATTTGTTGGGGAAACAGAGAAATATATTTCGACAAGTCCAAGCTGTTAAAACAAGTGGAAGTGTGATGATCGGGAGAGCAAGGAAAGCTTAATCTGATTTTTTGATTGTGTACATTTCTTATAAATTTAGTATTTACAGCAAAAATTGATACATGCAATATTTAATCCAAGCTAAATAGATTAATTGGTGAATGTAATTCAATGAGTACTTGAACGCATGTTAACAATAAAAGTGACCTTTTTTATTTCTTTTTAGAATATTAGAATTGGTTACTTCTGCATACATAGTTATTCATAATTTCTTATGAATCTGCCCATAAGTTTTGCTTAAATGCTTAGTAAAGCACAAGTTTTTCCTCAAATTTAAAAAAAAATGCAGGTTTTTGTCACAGTGAATTTGTCTGTATCTCTACAGTAGACTACAAACATCGACATTGATTTTTTATTTAGTTCAAGTAATCAGTAGAAGCTTGTGATTGTGATTTCATTAATTGTGAGCTACTAATAAATTACTTATTTCGGTTTTATTAACCTTAGGAAAGTTGTGCACTGTGCCTCCGCAATTTTAAACACAACGGATTAGAGAAGGTAGCTTAATAATATCCTATCCTAAAACAAGGCATTAGTATGAGGTTTGGAGATTGCCACGACTCGAAAATCTCAGATAATATATAGGGCTTAAAGAATATTGAGATTCTACCTGTTAATAAATGGTTCAAAAATTCTGCTCCTGCATGTCGCGTTGCTCTGAATACGATGCCTCATCTTATTAATATAAACTGCTGACTATTCGAATTCGTGCAAACACGATAATGCATGCGTGCCCTAATGGCCTGAATTCATGGGAGGTGGCGCGTACAGCGTCGGTCGCATAAGGAACGCCGACTCTGAGAAGAAACATAAGTATGGGTCGGTATCCGACGACAGAATTAATGGACATGAGCTAAAATGAATCAACTTACCAGAAAGACAAAGTATTTCTTGTACCTTAGTTTAAGTTTTTTGTAGCAGCATTATGCAATTTGAGATAGCCAAATTATCTAATATATTCTCATTATCACAAAACCGCTTTTACGTTTTTCTAAACTTTTTTGATGATTCAATGGAACAACGCGTTATGGCGTTTTGATCGCTTAAAGGGGTGTAATAAATCCCAGTTTCTCCTAATCTATTACCGTCCATTACCTCATGCAACTCTGTACATATACCACCAGAGCATATCAATTGGCTCCTCTGGACTATCAGTAAGTCGTACGTGCACTAGTTTACCCTGATTGTGTTGGTTAACAACTTCGTTAGTCAAAAAGTAATTTTATAATCAATTACGCAGAATCCATGGCACAGCTGGGTTAAAGAATTGAATAAACTGACAAGTTTACCTTATTTCGATCCTTCTTATTCCTTCCTAATATTGACGCTGAGTAACCTAATCAATAAATTTTAGTCACCCCGGTGTTATTCAAGACATTATTCACACCCTTCAATAAATAGTCACCACGAATTTTAGCACATTCAACCTTGGAATAAGTATTTGACTGTCTTCAGCACAACAACCCTGTTTTAGTTTCAACGCACTAGTTTTTTGAACTTTTTAAAATTTGCAGGGCAGTCGTTGCAAAAATTACACCTTACGATGATCTACATTCGTAAATAGGATCAGACAAGCAAATCCGTTAACAGGAAAGGACGATTATGAACGTATGACAACGTATACGTTTAATTCTCTGTGGGTAAATTTGAAAAGCGTCAATCTTGAGCATTGTTCGTTCATTCAGGAAACCATAAACAGCTCTCAGTCAAAACATAAATTAACCACAATGGATGAATAAATAAAAACTCGATTAATGTTTATCACTCCCAACTAATAGGGGTTTCGAAAAGAAGACAAAGGGAATAGATCAGACTTTGAGTGAACTGGGGAGGAGTAAGGTCACAATCTAAATTCAGAGAAGGGATAATTTTTTAATGACTTGAAAATGCTAATCCCTTTAACATATTCGTTTATGCTTTCATTTGTTTATCATGAATCAAATCATCTGAATGGATACGCGTCCCCCTGGGTCGCCTGAGTGTGGCAGGGATGTGGTAGATGGAACAGCAATAATTTGGGCTCCCTCTTGAGGCCTTTTTAAGCGCACCCCTTTTTCATATTAACCTTTAACAAATCTTGCCATGGTAGCAGAATTTTACCAAAATGCATGGGCCGCGTGTGTTTTGTTGCATAAAATCATTATTGTCAGCGTTCTCCGAATTTGAGGCACCTTGAAATATCGGTTTAATTTTTCTTGCGATAAAATCTACAACGTTTTTATGCAACTTTGTGACTTATTCAAGGTCCCTTTCATCCAGAAGCTTTTTCAGTAAACAACAAGTCTCATGATTGTCTTCTACTTTTACTTGTTTGTGATTATGCTCAATTGCTAGTTAAATTGTGTTAGAATTGATTTCAACATCTTTTCGAGAGCCCTAACGGATGGGTCTTGCTGATAGGACATTCTCATTTTTTCTCCACGTCAACTACATTTGCGTTTACATTATTATCAGCAATGGCATAGGGCTCGTTTGATTGTTCTAGGCACTAATTGCTTAAAATATTCATTACGTCACTATATTCGAAATCGCATCGTGTAATGGTAGTATTCGGATCTTCCTTTATTTCTAAATTATCGATAGCCTAGGCTTGGTGGTAGAACACTTCTGATTCATTATATCATTTAATAATTCTTATACAATTATTAAACAGTTTCTGGCTCCGAAATTTGATTGCCGTAGGAGGGATTTAGTAGGGTGAGCTGAGGTTCCCTGAATCCATTAATAGCCCAAATGCGAGATAATTACGTGCGCTGAATATCATGATTGGCCGATGTCGATGAAAATTATGCTCCTAAATCACCGACAGGATACTTGACATCTGCCTATGAGGTGAATTTTTATGCTGAGACAGCGAAGCAAAGCCAAACGATCACAATGGTGCACCATGACTCTAAATGATTCATTACAGCCAAGTTTTTCTTTTGACCTTTGTCCTGTGCTACCTACCTTTGGTCGTTTGAACTTGAGTGGGATCATCAGTCTGTTTACAATCGCCTTGGGATTAAATTAGCTAAGCTTAAGATTTTTATTGGTCCTTGTTGGCCGTCCACCACCAAGATTCTTCGCACCCTTCTTGTGAAAATTCCTCTTCAACTTTGACACCGGTTTCGACATCGGAGACTTACGCTTATTTGCACCCCAGGGTTTTCTTCCTCAAATTAAAACCAAATATTTTATTTGATTTGCACTATCCTCGGTTCTGCATTCCATTGTCAACTGGGAATAACTTTAGTAGATTCAATTTGGCGATGATTTCCCATTAATTTTATTTATCTATGCCTAAGGCAAGTTTAGTTATCAAGGCAGTAGTTGAGTCGGTAGCTTCCCCCAAGGTGCTTAATTGAAGCATCAATTACCCCAGCTCTTGTCTTTTAGGAATTTTTGAGCAAACGGAACATTGCAAGTTATTTCTGCAAACGATGATCTTCTGGTAGCAGATTAATTGACAAAACAGATGAGCAAAATACGTAATTAATTAAGCCCACAGCATATAACTTTGTAAACATCAAAGTCTACATCAAACTTCACACCTAAGCGGGCTATGACGCTACGTACCAGCGAAAAAGAATGAACGATTCCTGAAATTTTACGGCGCAGGCCTTCTATCCACTGAAAACAAATCCAAGCTACGTTGATCATAAGCATGGATAATTCAACAAGCAAATCTTGAGAGACTCTTTATAGGAATCAGCATGAAAACAGTGGGATAGATTATGACAAACTTGGTAAATGTTACATTCGTTCCTCACGAACATTGCCTAAGTGAAAGTTCCGAGTCCCTCTTTCTCTGTGTTACATCTGGTTCTCCAATAGACTTTCATTTGTCCCAACCTAACTCAGAATCCAGGCATTTATGTGCCTCAACATACCCTAATTTCTCAACCCTTCCCTAGCATTGACTTTCAAAAATGTATTGGCTGACCGCGGGTTTAATCTCCTCTTGCTTTACCTGTTTCAATTTTCGGTTGCTACACTTCATGGAAAGCCTCAAAAGTCACATGGCAACGATCGATCACTACGCATTAACGCTGTCTTGATTCTCGACATTGGAGTGTGGCTCCACTCATCATTTGACGAAGGTTGGCTGTCTCAGACTTCTCCTAGAGATGCTTGTTTGCTACGTTAAATCATTCATGCGGTTAGCATTTGAGATACTAAACTAAAAGAAAAGCTTGCATTCACAACATTGAATGGTCTCGGCCATCGCTTTACAGTGATAATCGGTTTTGATAACTACTTGGCGATGTCTTATTGCCCTGCGTCATCAGGACCTCAAAATTTTACTGCTATCTGCTAGTGGCCACATACAGACTTTCAACTTTACGATCTACCTCTTGGTATTCCAATTAGACAAATTGTCTACAGATTCCTTTTGTGAAGAGAAAGGCTAGTAGTTAATTAGGATGGAAAGAGTTAATCCACTTTCCTGCCCCCTAATCCAACACATTAGAACATTTTAATAGCGTCTTTAGCTTGCTGCTCGTGATTTATCCTACTAGACCCCCCATGCAAATAGCTTCGTTGTCCCCCTGTACCTTCCTGCCATCTCGCTTTCGTCAAGGTTGGCCCGTAGGTTTGAGGTCAACCTTCACCCCCGCATAGGCCACTCTTCCGGAGTGTCTCTCTACTCTCTAGCTAATTCGTATTCGTATATGGTAGCACGCAGAGTTTACTGTGATCGTAATTGGCGTTCAGGATAATGCTAACGCTGTCGATCGTTCCTAATATCTGCAGAATCGGCGTGTGAAAATGAACCTGGAGGTCAGGTTTGTTGTAAATAGTGATAACACTCGCATAATCAAATATCCCGGTGGACACACTTACCTTCGACTCAAATTACAAATCTTGATATTCAGCTGCTACTAGATTTACCTATTTCGCCAAACATAATTGTTTAGTAACACTCACTTATCAGGCCCTTTTTGCCAAGCCAACAAAATTCTTCTTAAAAATGTCATAGAGTATCTTGTTATAACAGGTATTCGATGTGCAAAATTGGTTTGTTTGTCCACGAAAGAAAATCAAAGAATAAGCTGATTCCTTTTATCTCCGTTGGACGCGCAAAAGCACAAGCAAGGTTTTTAATCCTACTTTTGTCGAGTTAATATTAATGTAGATTGACATCAATTGTACATTCTAAGAAAAAATTTTCAATTCAACTTTTTATTGTTACAGTGGCTGCGCAGTAAATTTAACGGAATTGGGAAATTAACATGTTGGAAGGATCGACATTTCGTAATAGTCCCGTCTAGATAGCAGAAAACATAGATAACGGATTTATTTGTTATATTGGGGTATATTATACCCTTTTGAACTGCTGATTACCACGAAGAATATTTTAACCACAAAATTTATTAAAAATAAATGGAACAAGCCACCAGTTTTAAGTAATCAAGTATTTCATTGGTCCGAAGCATATTGCCTATATCCCAATTTCTAAATAAATTTTGTTTGTTTTTATCTAATCCGCAATCCTTATCATTTTATCGAAATTCAGGACTCAGAAGAGAAACTGCAATATATGCATTCCATATGAGTTAATCAAACAATTGGCATTTGAAATCTCATACCAGAATGAGAGTAGGTCTGTTGAAAAAATCGGATCTCAAAGTTATTTTTATGCTAAAAAGCTTTGATTAAAGCTTGATATTATTGTTACTGCTTCCAACCAATCGAAATTTTTTGAGAGACCTTGGGAAATTTATTTGTAAGAATTAATGAGTGAGAAAAAAGTATATCAGTGTTTTTTTTAATAACACAAATTTTGACAGCAACACTAGAGATCAGAAAGACATTGGTGTTTAATAAAAGGAATAAAGGTGTTCCACAATAGATATGACAGACAGATAGGCAGCAGACATTTATGGGCCAGACTATTCAACGAAAATACATGCATGTGAAAGACAGAGGAAAATTATTTGATTGAGGCAACTTCTCACTGATAAAAAAGTATTTTTATGTAATCACAAATATTTACAAACATGTTGTGAATCTCCACTACTTTAAATGCAAGTCATTGCCTTAGACAAAGAAGATAACCATGTAACGCGCCTAACTACCGGGGATCTAAAGGGGTGGATAATTGTAAGTTCACCCCTCTTAGATAGATGCACCATAAGGTCAGCTGCCGGCCATACGAATTCAGAGGGTTGGAGCAGAGGGTGAGTTAGAGCTAGGAGAAGAATTGGATGGCCGCAGCCGTGCCTTAAGGTAGGCGAGATTGCAGGAGAGAAAAGGAAGACAAGAAACATGTCAGAGAAGCGAGCGTGAGTCGAATGGCGCGTTACGACCTTTAATTTCAATTTAAGATCACGTATTTTCTATGGAAGTAACCAGATTAAAAATCAGAAGACCCTCGGATTAAATTCACCACCAGGTTCAATTAACAAAAATATAAAAATGACGCTGATTACGATTAAACTTTTTCACTTTTAATATAAGATCTAATAGGTTTTTCAAAAAAAGGCAAAGATAATTTTTTTTATGTTAAAGACATTAGTGATGTGTATTGGGTACCTGAATGTGTACTTTTACTTTGTAGAAAACTCTTGATTTAATTCAGTTTGTTTTTGTGCGATTTAACGCGAAATATTTCATTGGTATCAGTAGCAAGCAATGGATTTGTGATCTTTTTGAGTGGTCGATTAGATTAATGAAGTCATTTTCAAAACAAAAAAAATATGCAAATGCCTGACGACAACATATAAATATTTAAATTGGTTAAAAAATTTGTCAAGCACAAAATTTTAAATATCTCCACTTGTTTAAATAAACCAAGCCGCCTTCTAGAATCGGCTTCTTTGCGATTGTCACGCCTCGTAACCATGTCTGGAGATGCTGTTGCTGTTACGTATGTCTGATTTTCTGATTTTCACGTTTTAGCCGTCATCCACAGGTACTGTGGGCTCAGCGAATGGATTGTGTCTTTGTGACAATCGCGCTCTCTGATGTTAAGGATGAATTGATAGATATTAAACCAAATTCGTTCCACTTTAAGTAGGTTACCCAAGTGTCATTTATCTACTTGTAGAGGGTGCGTAGATGTACCTTCCCGTGTTGAGTACGAGGTTGGCTTGGATTTTTATGCTGAAGTTGATCCTGAGAAGGCCGTTAGACAAAGTGGTGACCGTGTTATAACGTACTGCATAAAGAAAGCGGAACCAGCTGCGTGGCCCCAACTTCTGAAAGATTCGAAAAAGCAGCCTTGGCTGAAAACCGATTTCAATCGGTGGAAGGATCTGGATGAGTCTGACTCTGACGGCGAGGGAGGCTTTGGCGGCTTTGGTGGGTCAAACGGAGGAGATTTTCAAAACATGCTGAACATGATGGGTGGGAATAAGGACTTCGAGGACGATGATGGCAATGACGCGGACGCTGACTCCGACGATGAGGGTAAGATTATTTATCACAACTATACTCTGTAGAGCTCCCTGACCTGGATGATGCGGTAAAGCCCGAGGGAGAGGCGAAAGAAACTAAATAAACATCCTTTCAAAAAACTTTGTTCACGTTTTTGTACAACTGTCTGAGACTGCATTTCAGCAAAGCGCGTGGGTTCTTTGCTGTTTGTTTATGTATAATCCATTGTACATCGCTCTTGTTATTCCATGTAATCTACAATGTTTCTGTTGACTCATGTAGGTCTTTTAATATCAAGGGAAAGTAGATAAGGTCTTGACCTCGGTGTCCTTGTTTCTGTAGATTAATGAGCGATTGTTTGGTGATTTTGTTACATGTTTGTTGCCTATTCTGTTTACCAATTCTCGAGTTTAGTTGTTTTTAGCTAATGTTTGTCGTGATTTACTCGCCGCATGTTGTATCACGTCTTCTTCCAACCCAAAGGTTGCGCATGCCCATTTTACAGAGCCTTTTGTAGCTGCGGGGTTTTAGGCATAGTACCCCCACCAATATGGCTTATGCGTGAAGTTTCCTGCCTGGGTGTTCCTAGACGTACCTTTATTTGGTACTATTCTTAATGATCTTGGTCTTCGCACCTAGCTGCGATAATAGGAAACATAAAGCCGAAATGTTTTGTTTGGATACTGTTGCTGTTAACAGCGTCTCTATTGGTCAGGGCGGGATTATTCTGCTACAATAACAAATGGGCAGTGTTTTCAGTTTTTCGAGTTTCTGTGGTTTTTCACAAGGAGGCATTGGGTTAAAGAAAGTCACTATCTTTTATTGGTTGTTCCTCCGGCAGGTTTCGTGCTTTTTTCTCAAGAAGCGCTAACTGGTCGAGGTATTCCCATCTTGGGCGGAGTGAGAGGTACGTTCTTCTCAACGTCCGCCAAGCTTCCTAAAATGAAAAGGGCATAGTGTTATGCATTGCGTCTTAGGTCCTCGTCAAACCGAAGACTTAGCTAGGAAGCCGCACATAAACCAAAGTATAGTCGCTTTTTACCCCATATCTGTCGATTATTTTGGCATGGGATTTTGTCCGTTGTTTAAAGTGGCTACTTCTCATGAATGACCATGAAAGTTTTCAGTGGGACGTCACTCTAATTTAATGGCATATGGTTGATTGGCAAGTGCGTAGTGGCTTTTTACTCTTTGCTGACATTGACAGGTAGTGTGGCAATTATTCAAGGAATGATACGTTCGATTATTATAGCAGCTATCCACAAATTAAACTCACTTTGAGGGTTTTTCCCTCCTCAGCTATTAGATATGCCATAGTAAGTGTTGATCCTGTCCTATTGTACTGGTTATTCACTATGACAACTCGTCCTCCAAGTTTTCGTTGAGAAGCTAGAGGTTCACCGAACACACGATGTCAGCCTTAGGTCATGAACTCGAGCGTAACATGTAACAGCCAATAGGGTGACGATCTTGTGGCCTGGACCGTGAGTTCACTCCTACAGGGATTATTGGGACGGTATTTTCATTTTGGCAAGTGTCCTTTGCCTAATGGCTCTTCGGGTTCCAACTTATCGTCTGTGTCAATTTGTGTATGCTTTCCCTTTGAGGTTTATCTAGCGATAAAAACGTATGAGTCTACATTGCCATCAAACTCAATAGGCAATCTGAATTGAATTTTTTTGCAAAAATATGATCAGTTTGGCAGTAAATTGTTCTGAAGTGCTACCTTATACTATTCGTGTGATAATGTTCTACACTTTTTTTGGCTGTTGATGGGAGGTGATGGTTCGAAAATGCTTTTTAGGGATGCATGGATGATTGCAGATGTGAGTAAAGGGATGGAAATCCAACTTGGAAAAGTGTCGAAAAATTTACCAATGCAGAAAACATGGATGATGTCAAAAATTTCGCTTGTGATGGACTGCTATTCCACTCCCAATTAGAAATTATCTAAGAAATTGCATTGGTTCATGGGGTTACATAAAAGTAATGTAGAAAACTTTTGGTGAGGATGATTTTAAAGGATTCAGATCGTGTTTGCGAGACAAAATTGAACCATAAACATAACTCCACAAACCTACATATAAAGCGGCAAGCTTCGTCAATCGGTTTTTGTATCGAGGCCGGACGGGCAGGATCAACTTCCAAGTATAAAGTTTCGCGTGGCTCCGGCAAATTTATGCTACATAGAGGCAAATCCCTTAATTTACTCCTTTTTGGTCAAGTAACTTATTCTGCAACTGCGTGATATTCGTTTTATGGGAAATACTGGAATAAGACAGTATATCTTTCTTTCTTTGAAGAGGCTAAACTCAAAATTTACTTTTCAGATATCAAATAAACTGCTCAAAATGGTTAAGGGAAAGGAATGAACGCGTTGACGAAGCACAAATTTACAATATTAGTTGTTTCAACATATCCAGTAATAAAGTGTACTGATAACTCATTTAATTAGAGGGCAATTTTAACTATACTAAAGCAAGAGGGGTTAATCAAATCCCAAATGCCGGTAAAACTTTGTTAATGTGAAGTGCAAGGCATTTTCAGTGGGTTTAATCGGGTTTAATTATACATTGCCGCCAACACTTTTTTTAGATCACCCCATGAAAAAAAGCAACTAAAAGCGAGAGCGAATTACATTACAAATAATCGAAGCGGGTTGCAAGTGAACTTGCGAATTTTTAGAAATATTCCCGTGTCGTCATATACAAAGCGGTTATGAATCTAAAGGCAACAGGTTTCGCCCAAAGGGGAAAGATTTAGTTGCTTAAAATTCCACATCCTTAAGTATTGCATAATTCGGAAGCGCATTTGTTTAGATGTTTGAAAAATGAATGCAGCTATAATGAAAAGATAATTTGATATGCAACGGTCAAATGCAACTTAACCATAAAGTCATCAGCTAATTCACATATGCAGTACACCTCTGTTACTTGACGCACAAATCGTGTGCAGATTAGGCATTTGAACAAACAAATTCGTGTAATGATAATTTGCTATTGTACTGAGGAATACTGCAATTAAATAATGAATGCAAAATTTCGCACTGATCAAGCTTATTTATTCAACTAGCCACTATCTTCTGCAACTTTCTCTAGACAAAAAATGACTGCAGGATTTATGGGCTTCAGCGTGTTAGGTAGAACATTGGTATTGATACTTGAAGGACCCATTACAATGTATCTTTAAAATGCAAGTGAAATTCTCAGTGATTAGCATTTAAGTTGCTAAAATGGTTTAAAAATAATTAGCTTTTAATTCACAATTAGTATTGAAAAAAGTTTGAGCTAGTGGGCAAGTCACCAAACGATTTGTTAAGCACAAAATGTTGGCAGGTTGGATTAGAAAAATATATGCGAAACGCACTTTAAGTTGCGCTTAAAATTCTATTTTTGCGGAACAGACTTGCACTTCGGTAAAAAGCTAACTTTTAAAAGTAGAAATATTTTAGATGACATGTTGGATATACTGCAAGATATTTTGTATTATTTTTGGAAACGGTAGAGTAAAAGAGAACCATGACATTTTAATGACTCGCATTGCATTCATTACCCAACTCATATTACTTGGTATGGTAAAAATTAAAACAGTCGATAAGTGGGAAATGAGGCATGAGTAAAACGTGGACCAAAATAATTTCGTTTGAATTACGGTTATATTAATCCAGTTATGCTTTATTAATATATTTTAATATAGGGACTCATCGCTGTGCTATTATATCGTTACGTCAACAAACTAAAGGTATTATAAGAACCCACCTTCCCGATGGTTTTGGATAGCAGTAAACCATGGCGGTTATGCGAAGGTTGTCAATTACAACTTGGGGAATTGAGTGTAGGGGTAATGCAAGATAGAGGAAATCGTGAATAACTTCAAAAGGGTAGTATTCAAGTACTTCAAGATCCTAAAAATATCAGTAGTTAAACGCAAACCCTTGGAAGATACAGGATTCTACTAGTGCACATAAATGGGTAAGATTTTGAGAATTTACGAAATCCGCCTAGAAGGTCTTCGCATGAAATACGGCGTTACCTGAAAGTATACGAACTAAAGAAAAAGAGTGGTTCTTCATTAGATACGAAATCATGTCGGACATTCTACATTATGAAGTCTGCCATTATTGCTTCATACCGGTTACAATTATTCGCTTGGTAAGAATCCTGGTCATAGATACATACATTCCATCGAACTTCTGGATTTGAACCGAAAGGAAGCAATAGATCACCGTTTTCTTTCTATTAAAATAAGAACGCCAGGAGTCTTTACCTTTTTTGAATGAACGGCTCTTCTAATATGTGAATATTCGTACTCCTCTCTCTCTCGAACATCTTCGTGTGTAAGAAAAAAGGAAGTAACAAACCAAGAAGCAAAACATTGGTGAAATCAAAGGCATATGGAGATGATGTGCCTTGATTAAGAAGGTTATACAGAGTTGTTACATCAATTGTCTCATTCATAACTTATAATCGTGACGGAAAAAAAGTCGGCAGAACTCGAATAAATACACTTGATAGGTTAAAACAAGCGCTCAAAAGATCTTTTGATTTTATGAAAGTAATATAAAATAACAATAAGACCCACGTTAAAATGAGACATTAGAGAAGAATAAGCAAAGAAAAAGGGGTAGCAGGACATACTTTTATTTGCATATTATTAAACGGCATATCATCAAAAAATTACCAGTAGGGAATATAGAACACATAAACCAATTACCAATACATATTTTTCGGACTCATTGAACAGCCGCCTTTGTTGTAAATGTGAGCCTGTTGGGACATTTTGATTGCTTATTTCTGCTAAATTGAAAATGCAAATCCTTTCCCGTTTTACGCCCACCACGAAAATTTAACACCACACTGACATTTAGGTTCTGCATATCAACTATTAGTCCCTCTTAACTGTATAATTATAGCAGTTTTAAACCATGATTTCTTACAATAACATCCATCTCTTCGTGTAATTATAATATTTCTCGTTTCGCCCTTTCGTATCTTTAGAACAGAAGGCGTCAGTGGCCTTTCAAATGCCAGTTTATATATTAAAATAACCTCTGGACCAGCAGTGACTACTCTACTCTGTGTCAACTGTAAATTCCTTTAGAATATTTTGGCAAACAACCTTCTTAAAACAATTTAACAGTTTCCGCCTAATAATTTTTTATAAAAGATTCTGGAATTAAGAAATATGCTTTAATGGTGCAAGTATTGATTTAAATGCAATGTACTTTAATTGCATCGACATCGATTGTGCAGTCCAATAAACGTCGTGGCCTCGATGTCATGCTGTTGGTTCATAGCCTTCCTGTTTTAGCTTTTATTCACGTTTAGCTAGTTGCGTCTTTCATAATGTCTGATATAAAAAGGAATGAGTATGACTTTGATTCTTCTGATGAGGAAGTGAGTTTTTTTCTAAACATTAACACCAAGTAAAGGATATTCGAAACACAGTCGGGAATGTTCCAATGCAATGGTATGATGCCCTTCCTCATGTTGGCTATGATTCAACTGGACGGCCGATAATGCGTCCTTCTTTGCACCAAAAGTCTATTGATGCCATTTCGGAATTTCTTAAGACAAGTGCCACTGAAAACGGGGAGGCGGACTCAGAGTGGCGAACGATAATTGATCCGAAAACCGGTCAAAATGTTGTTCTTAGCGATCGTGACCTGGAGATTGTAACTCGAATGAGTTCTGGAAAGGGTGTTCTTGGAGATATGGAGGATGATATTTATCAGGTACAAATTTATCAAGGTCCGTATTTATTCATTAGCCATGGGAAGATTTCTTTTCGAAGGATGTTCTACAAATGCCTGTCACTGCACATCCTCCTCAGAAAAGGTCATTTATACCATCATTGCTGGATAGACGACGGGTATGCGAAATCCCTCATTATGTCATCAACCGTTTTTACCTGAAGTTTACTATATCTTCACTGCTTGTAGGTTGGTCGTATCACTCATGCACTGAAAATGGGGTGGATTCGCCCTCGCCTTCCCGCATGGGCCTTGGAAGATGCTGACGATCTGGAACAGGTCCGACGCTATGCCATGTACTTAAGTTCTGGCAAACCAGGTGCCTTCGATGATGATGACGAAGGTGACATTTTGGGATTTTCTTCTTCCGCAGTGCCAATCTGCGTTTTTCCAGACGTATGGGCTGACCAGGATAACAGTTCAACCGAAAATACGAAGTCATTTGAATGGCAAGCTGGACTCCCCACAAGCCTTCAAACTTATCGTCCTCCAAGGCCTAGGCCGTACATGCGACCGGCAGCTGAACCACTACCTAGTCACGCAGAATCTTATAATCCTCCTCCGGAATTCCTACTGTCGGAAGAAGAAGTAAGTTGTTTTCTAAATACGTGCATAAAATTTCGGTGAATTACGGATTTGCATATACTGATTTTTGCTTGTATCATTGGTATGCGATACTAAGGTGGTCGTGTACTATAATGGTCCAAACTCTTTCGCAAGTGTCTACATCCTTCAATCCTTTTTTAGTTGCTTTTCTGATAACCTCTTTTTTATCATAAGGAAACTCAACTTAGTGGCTCTATTCGAGCTCGTATTGCCTTTTGCTAAACCATTAAAGCTTATAATATCAAGCGCTCAAATCTTTTGTGCAACTTCTTGCCCCTGCAGCGACTGTTTGGTTTGCAGCCAAACGTAAGAACCAACAGCTCTTCAAATGCTCTCCAAATCCCGACCAACCTTTAAAGATTTCTAGGCAAATGAGATGTAACTTTTAGGAGCGTCAAGTGATGCGTGCCTGGCGCGACAAGGTAAAGGATAATCAAGCAGTAAAGGTCGTGCCCATTATGCCACGAAAATTCGATTGTTTGCGTCACGTACCTTTCTCGAAGAGATATTTCCGCGAACGCGAGGAGCGTATCAAGGATATGGTAATGGCGGCCCGGATTGAGAAACAGCAAGTTCACACAACACCTGAGGCTCTTTTGCCCGAGATACCGAGTCTATCGGATCTGCGCCCTTATCCGTCGCATCTTGGTCTTGAATACAAGCAAGTTTCTCGCAAAATATCTCATGAATACTTTCGTGTGTCTTACTTCTGATGATTAATTTATGTAATAATTTTTATTCCGGTGTTGGCACTTTTTGATTTTGCTTAGTTCCAGTAAGTGAATTCTTGCACACATATGTTAGTTTTGTAATTATTTCTGATTTTCTAGTTAAGCCTTGTCAATGTTTTTTCATCAGTGATGTTTATTAATGAAGTCTACCATTAATTAAAGCTTGTCTAAACCATTTACGTTTACACATGTCCGTTGTTTCAGGTCCCACGATGGGCGGGTGACAGGTCTGTCTGTCTCACCCTGTGGCCAGTGGCTGGCTTCTGTGTCCCCTGTTGATGGTTGTCTGCGTATTTGGGAGACTCTGACCAACTACTGCTTTAGGTGCTACCAGCTAGTACCAACAAATCGGAGCGCAGAAGCGAAAAATTCTGTGGTCGCTGAAAAAAAGCTCAAAAGGCAACTCTTAGAAGAGGAGGTGGATGAAACCAAATTGCCTTCGGCCTACGTGTCATGGAATCCCAATCCAGACCTATGTTTGGTCTCTGCAGCATTGTAAGCTTTTGAATAAGTCTTGGCGGTAGCCTATTATTAGTTTATTACAGCTACGTTCGATAAAAACGCGTTTTAATGCTTTTGTTACCTTGTTATGTTAGTTTCCCAAAAACATTAACCAATAGGATGTGTGTGTTGGACTCTTGCACAGTAAAGTGGTACAGACAGTGCGGTGAATTTCCAGTGAATTTTCTCTGTGAATCTCACCGTATATATGCAGGTGTTTGTATACGCTTGTACCCTCAATTTGGAGTTGATGAACCGGGGTCCACAGAGACTGTTAGCGTCTTCCCTTATCACCAGGCACCGAAGCCTAAACGCGCTTGTTTGGAATGCCACTTCGTTGGATCTTGTCATGGTCTGACTTTTGGCGTCAGAATGCCATCACTGCATGTCAAGTTAAACACGCTTTTTGTTTTAATAGTGGGACGAAAATATTCATCATTAACCCGGCACTGGGTGATCGTGTGGTCGTTGAGAAGACAGATAAAATGCTCTGCGAGTTCTGGAAGGCGCATTTGTCTTCGTCTGGAGCAGCTGAAGTAAGCAGTCCTGTTATATTTGCTCTCAACGTGAAAACCAGTTATCTTCCTAAACATTGGTCCTGTTACAACTCTTATAGTTAGAAGGCTACTTTACTACTCTATTAGTACATCCTTAGTAGGCATCGTCTACAATTTCGGCACTCCGAACTTTACGACCTCGTACGTATAATAATATTGAAATATTATGGAAAAATTAACTGCACACTTACTGCTAATGACCATGTTTATGTCACTGGGTAATTCCTTCGTGTACACCATAACTGGATCTCATGACTTATCCGGTGCACGACGAGTTTTTTTTGACTAGAAGAACCACTGTCTTCATGTGCATAAAGCACTTTGCAGAAAATAGGTAATTTGAAAAAACACGGCTCCGTTTAATTTCCAGGATGTTGATTTGGACACCATCGGAATGGAAGGCGATGGGGACAACCAAGATGACGAGGATACAGAAGTAGCTAGTAAGAGGCGCAGAGTTGACGGGGCGCGTAGTCAGATCGCAGTTTGGAGCTTTAAAGCGTCCAGTGGCGAAAATGCAACTAGGATACTGCGCAACGCCTCAACCTCCACGGACTTCCCCATCGAGTGGCATTCCAGGAATGTCATCAAGAAGTCGACGAAGACGGCCGCACTGGCTCGCTCGCGCACTCTCGAGTTATCCCGAATATCTATTGAATTGCATCAAGTAATTTCGTTTCCCGTTTCAAACTGCTTGTCCTTAATCGTTTGCTTAAAAATGCCCGCAGTTACGACCAATTATGTCCGCAAACTAACCCTTTACAGTTATGACCTTCGGCCTTTTGTAATGTGACTCAGGTTTACCAGCTCTCTTGGCATAATTTTTTGATCATTTGAAGCAAGAATCCATGCATTTGCTTAATGTTTATATCCGTTTACTTTATTTGCTTGCTCAAATGGGATGACTGCACGAGCAACTTTATCTGTCATGACTGTTTGGTCATAACGTATCCTTCCAAAAGCTATCCTGACAACTTCTGTTCACGAAAGCGATATTGATGTGTTCGATTCTCGGTTTCATATTTTGGACCTGGCACTTGATGACAGCGTCTCCTCATAAAGACCACATTTACGCGCCTTTCTGTGTGCACTACGGCAAAAGCCTGTATTTACACAACGTGGTTCCGCCCCATTTCTAAGTGTTATTCGAATTGGCATTATCAATGTTGGTGGTGCAAATGGCATAATTGCTCCAAGTGGATTCATCTTGTAGATCTGTGTTGTTAAAAGAAGGTCAGATTTGCTTGCACGACAATTGGGGATGTGTGGTGATATCACCTGGCAATATTGGGTGATCACGTGTAGGGAGGCGTGTCTGTGTGTAATGCGACAGCGACTTAACCAATGGAAACGCCGTGATACCGTTAAAGAAGCTAGTGAATCCGAGCCAGTCCAAGTCATCAAATTCTCAAGAAGTGGTGTGTGTGTGTGCGTGTTTATTGCCTAATCTTGGGAGCTTTAAACACGCGGGAATTGATGTTCGCCCAGTTATCGATCAAGTGGTTGACAGTTGCAAATCGGGCGGCGTGTGTCACCGCGTTTTTATTCCCCGGTTCGCTTAGCCCTGCATTGACCTCTCGTGGCACCCGAAGGGGGACTACCTTCTGACCCTGAGTATCTCCACGCTCTCGAGCGAGGCGCGTAGCCGCGCTGCCAACCGTCTGCTGCTGCACCGCCTCTCGCGCATGTCGAGCCAGGCGCCCTTCGCGGCGGTCACCTCGAGTGCCGAGGAGTGGCGCGCGGCCGCCTTCCACCCCGGCGGCAAGCCCACTCTCACCGTCGCCGGGCCCCGCCACATCTACACCTTCGACCTCGTCGCCCAGAAGGAACTCGGACGCCTCAAGCTCGACCTCTCCTCCGACCAGATCTGCTGCACCTGCATCCATCCATCTGGTTGGTTTCCTGTTGTTGTAATCCGTTCAGGTGTCGATGCCGAGTCACTTTTTTTCCTGTCTCATGCCAGTTGCGTCAAACATGTCATAGCGTAATGCCTTTTTCAGTGTCTACGAGAAGAAATAAAGGCGGTCTTTTTCGTATTGATTTTTAATACTTAAATCCGCAAATCGCTTCATGCGGTTTTGCGTGTTGTTTTAAGGCGACCACATCGTCGCGGGTACCAGTGACAGCCGATTTATCTGGTTCGACGTCGAACTTGGCAACGTCCCCTTCAAAAAGTTACGGTATGTCAACTTCCAACTTACAGTCCCAATTAAAACCACACTTGTTGGGCAACTTATCCGTTTTTATTTGTATCAAAACCACCAATTTGTAAGCTTAATTTCATCAACATGCTTGGTTGATTCGTCACTCTATTTTGACATATCTTGCTGTAGAGTTCATGTATGTGTTCGTGGTCTTTTGGTAAGATAGTACCGCTTAGCAACCTTGGATACAATGGGTTCGTATTTGATTGTATTTCTATGTACCTTCGAACATTATAACACTTTTCAATACAGGCCATTTTACAAAAATGTGAGTTTATTTTGTCAGTTTTTAAGACCAATTATCTTGCTTTAATACTGGTTTTGTTGGGACCTATTTCAGTCCTGGCTTTTTCAGTATTTGGTAAATTTGTTCTCTCAGTGGTACTATATATAACACGAGCAGCGTTTTTATTCATTTTGATTTAATTTAAACTTTGTAGGTTAAATCATGGATCAGTTCACCAAGTCCATGTTCACAATCGCCGCCCGTTGGTGTCTGTCGCCCTTGACGATGGATCCCTCCTAATTGTTCACGCCAAGGTCGTCGAGTAAGTGTGGTGTATGATTAAAACTGGGTGTCATTCATTACCTGCGTTATTTCACACATAGCATTCAAATTTTTTAATTTAATTGTTAAGTTACTGTAATGCGGTTATACGAATAATCGTTGCTTAGTAATAACATTCTAGGACTAAATTTATTTGACAGCTCGCATTATCTTGTTTATGTTTTAGCGATCTCCTATCGAAGCCTGTCATAATTCCCGTCCAAATTATCCAAACCGGCTTCCGCAGCACCTTTTCAACGACCTTCCACAATCGATTGCCACATGTATACTCGGGGGGCGACTGTGGAACCATTCGGCAGTTTGTTGCATGGAATTAAATTTGTAAATTAAGGGATTTTGATGTATAGAGTAAACGTATTTGAAAATGAATATCATATTTGAACCGGAATTGGGTTACATCGTTGTTGTTCATTAAATCTTGGAAGTCTTTGTGCATGATTGAAAATATCTTCCGCAACCAGTAATATGTGCGTGCAACAAGTCGTTAATTTACTCTATCACGCCTTATCTGAAAGTAGTTCTGTCACACTAACTGACATGTCCACGTGAAAACGATTGGGTTGTCAAAGTTCAGTTGTTGGGGTGTTTTTGGTGTGATTGCTCTCATGGCTATTCGAGGTTCTGTGTAACATTGATTCAAAACTGACAACCTTTGGGTACGCATGAGGCCGAGGATAAACGCAGAACTGTTAACATTGGCATAGAACACAATGCCCGGAATTGGGAAGTGGCCAGGTTAAATTATTTGATCTCCATTTCGATGAATTCGGCATCGTACTCGGACAGTCACATTCTTGTGGATCCCACGCGGAATCAGACGCAATTTTACTGATTACGCGCATTTTTAATGAAGGAAGGAAGTGTGGTGTGTAGAAGATAGTTGAATTTCGGATAAGACAAACTGCGTTGTAAAATTTTTCATATTTTTGAAGAGCTAATCTTAATTTTTAGGGCTTTTTTCGAAATTGACATCAATGTAGGCGTTGGGTTAAATTGCTTTTAGTTGTGGATTTATAAAATCGGTTAATTTCCGAGTCATGATTTCATAATTATGGATATGGTCATAATTCAAAAAAAATTTTCTTACATTTTCCATGCAACTCCAAATACACAAAAAATAAGTCAAATATATAATATTGGAGTTCAGCGGAATCATGACTGTAATGATCATTTTCCAAAATTTTTTTGACTACCATAGGGTACTTCTCTTTTTGTCCAAAAATTTACATTTTGCACTAAATTTGGATTTTTAACTTGTTTGTAAGGTTTTAATTCGTTTTCTTTTGTGTGAAAATATATTCTGTGAGATGGACTTCAAGACGTGTTTTAATGCTCTACGAGTGGTAATCTGTGTGTTGAGGCGCGGTCTGCCAATGCCGTCGAAGATGGGTGGTGAGGTCGAAGAAGCCTCCACTAGCGATTTACAACATAAGCGCATCCATTACGACCCAAGAAAACTTAAAATAATTCCTGGAGGAGTCTCGTCAAGGCAAGGAAGCGAACCATTGCCGCAGTAAGCTTCCTACACATTTTTACCATTTTTGAAGAAAGTCTAGAAGATGGAGTCTCACTGATTTTGATATTGGAAGGAATTTGGGTAGAGGACGCTTCGGGTCTGTGTACCTTGCCAGGGAGAAAGAGAGTCGGTTTGTTATATGCCTAAAGGTAGTCCAATTTAAGGCTGCGTTCTCACCTTTAGATTATGTTTAAATTACACTTCTCAACTACTGCGAAAATGCAAACCTTACAGAGGGAGATCGAAATTCAGTCGCATCTCAAGTACGGCCTTCCCTGTTGCATGATTTTAGACATCCTAACATTGTCCGTTTGTACGGGTACTTTTACGACGTTAAACGTGTTTATATGATGCTTGAATATTCACCCAAAGGTGAACTTGCAAAGGACATTGAAAAATTTAAATTCACGATTGCGCGTTGCTCCACGGTTAGTTTCCGTAACGATCCTGATTTGAGATGAACAGTATGTTTTTCAACTTGCAAGTGCGTTGGATTATTGTCACAGCTGCAACGTAATCCATCGTGACATAAATCCTGCTAATCTTCTACTAGGGAGTAATGGTGAGCTTAAAGTCGGAGACTTCGGCTGTGCGGTTCACAGCCCAGGCTCTAGGTAATGCGTCTTCAATCAAAGTCACTTTTAGGCGAACTGCCGTTTGGGGCACATTGTCGTACCTTGCCCCAGAAATGACCACTATGGACTCTATGCACGATTTTAAGTGCGATTTGTGGAGCCTTGGAATATCAACATATGAGATGCTTTCCCGTCGGGTTCCTTTTGACAAATCTACGGAACAGGAAACGCTTCTCGCCATTCAGAATGATGAAATCGATTTTCGTGTGATAGAATCATCAGATGCAATTGAATTTTTGAAACGGGTACGTCCCTCTCATATGGCACTCACGGGTTTTAAAAAGGAAGCATATCTTGCTTAAGGCTGATATCCTTGGCCACTTTTTTACAGTGATCGTCAGCAATTTCATTACCTTCGCTGCTCTAGTTGTGCGTAATGTCAGGATTTCTAACTTGGCCTAATCTTAGCACAAGACTGGATTTTTGTTTCGTCACTAATTCGATTGGAATTTAGTCGAGTAAATCAACGGATTCCACCCAAATGATTTTTTACTGAGTGATAGCATGTACCATATAGCAATGGAAGCATGTTACTGACTAAAGGGTTGCTACGTTGCTGCCCTCCGATTATCACGACAGGCAGTTCCCGTTTTGTTTGAGATCCGTACCCAGTATTCACTTCGAGAGAGTAGTGTTTCTGAGTCACTCACCTAAATGTATTGTGTGTAAGTACCGATCCTTGACGGTTTCATTGGTTGGCCTGGCGGTCTGCTAGGTCACAGAGAGGTTCTGCCTTTCCTGCTTTTTATAAAGGTGTTGCAGAAGGACCCGTCTGTTAGGATTACCGCTGCTGAGGTAATACAGGATCCATGGGTGCAACAGCACGCCGAACTCTCCCTAACGCAGTGCAGGGCCGCCCTCGAGGACTGGGAGGCAGCAAAGCACACAACTTCTCGCCTCTCCTAGAATGGGACTCTAGTCGTCTTTCACATTACTCCCCCTAGCAATTATTTTATTTACTTTTTTGTATGAATGACATTTTACTGTCTACTTTTATCCCATGAATGTACCTCGAATCAACTGTTTTATGATAATATTTAATTGAAATTCAATGCAATTCAATCGACCTTGATTTCTTCGACTTGGGTTGAGGTAGGTCGTCGGAGTTATCGTCTGCTGTGCGGTTTTTCACAGTCTTGGCTCGACCTTTGGGACCCCAGTTCGGAAGAGGATTCACTTGGTACCTAAAGGTGGAAAGTAGTTGACTAGTCAACACACTGCATCCTGAATTGTGGAGAGGAAGAAGAATAGTGTTGGAGTTATACTGGAGCCCGCCACCAGTGTTATTCGGAATCCGGGTGCGTGGGCCCAACCCACGTCTTTTTCAGTAAAAACAGTCGTCACAAACACAGTTGCAGTTTTACTGACAGACCACTCTAAGAACCTATACTGAACCGTTCACGGTGCTACGCACAGCTATGCAGGTCGTAAAGATGAGCCCATACCCATTATCACTCCCGGCACTAAGTGGCAAGCTGTGGTGGAATTTGAGTGGAGAGTTTGGCTGGAGAATGGCACTGTCTGTGATTTAGCCTCAGTCAATAAGGGCAAAGTTGGGCGTCAGTATTTCAAGGGGAGTTGCGTTCGACGCGATTCATAGGTGATCATGAATGCACGACAACTGAGCATTCCTGATTGGTCTATGGGCTGTCTGTTTGTGATTGGTTCCTGTCTAGCCTCAGAGCACAAATCACTACATACACATTATTCCATAAGTGCCACTAATTTCAGCACGAATCTCCTTGGCGGTTTCATGAAAAACCACATTCGGCGTTGGACGTGCGACGAACGAAAGAATTCGCCTGCTCCTGTCCAACACCCACCGCCCTTTGCACTACTAATGAACTACTTTCCTGTTTGAACGGTTAGATGAAATGTTGCTTAAAAAAAGATTTCAACCACGAGGTCCTCGTGAATTTAGCTACTTTATTTAGCGAGTGATTGGATGATAATTAGGTCAGTGCTTATCAATGGCTCGTGACCAGGACAGTGCATAGCCTGTAACGACATCTGACCCCATATTTGCAATATTGTAGACTGCATATTCAAGTGACTTGAAAAGAAACAAATAAGTTCAGTCAAGGAGTCGGCATGTTAACGCAATATTTTGGTTGTTGGGTTGCCCAGATATAAACCAATCTAAACATTTTCGTTAAAGTGCGATCACATGTGACAGTTACTGTTGATATTGATATATTGCAATTCATGAAGAGCATTGATTTTACGCGAAATGTGACTTCACATTAAGCATATAACATCCACAATACAAAAAGTGATTTTTTAATGCGCCGGACGTTACTGGCTAAATTATAACACATGATGATCACGTCGCTGAGTCGACGAGCAAAAAGCTCTTGCTACTCACAATAAAAAGTAGCCCATCTGCGCTCACCTCAATAAGCCATCAGTGCGAGAGGGAGGATTGGAGTCGGGGTGCGGGGTGAAGTCCACGCTTGGGTTGGGCGGGCGAGACATCAGGGCGTCGACGACACGCAGAGCCGCCTCACTCGGCGGGTGCTTCTTCCTGCGGGTCGCCTTGGACCTCGTGGCGCCCTCGGGTGGCGATGGCGAGGGTGACCGCGAGGGTCGGCTGGAGGCGCCGGCCGATGCCTTCGCCGCCGCCGCCTCGTACCTGCGCTTCCACGCACACATCACGTCCCAGATGTAGGACATGGGTGCGTCGGTCTTTATTGAGCTTAGAGCAGCGTGCGAGAATGACACGCGGTAGCCAGCGTTCAGAAAAGCCGACCTAAGGTAACGACAACAGAATACTCCAAATAGTCAGGTGACAATTACCATGAGGCAACTTTTGACGTCAAATTTCACGACCCAAACTACAATTCTGAGGCATGGTGGCATGTATTGACAATTTGTAAAAAAGGATCGCTTAAAATTGAGAAGAGTTTCAGAAGAACCGAGGCTAAAAATGGGGGTACTTTTTTTAAGAAAGGGGGCATTAACTAAGGTCTGTGCTTAGCTAAAAATAGTTAAAATTGGACTCCACAAGCCTAAACAAACTTTTTTTGTACAGGCCAGAGTGCAATTATGAGGCTTCATAGAGGAAGGGACTTCGTCGGATTTCGGTGACTTCAAACTTAGCCGAAACTGTTAAAACCTCAAAAGTGATGCCGAACGGACACCAATCGACATTTCAAGGGGGTCCACAAATATTTCTGCGTCAGACATCAAGGGTCAATCATTCCACCAATTGGCAAACAATCCAGGCAATTAGCCACGGTGAATTAACATTAATCGGACAAAACAACCACTACATAGTCCAACCAAACAGCCCTCATTATTGTACACGGCGCGCCTGCAATGCGTGGCATTTGCATCTGCTATAACAGCGGCCTTAATGTCCTATAACAATGAGTGGAAAATGCCACATTGCCGCACAACGCTAATGCTCACAAGAGTGCTTCGGCTTGGACGAAAACGAGGTTCTGCGAGCAACCATTGGGGATGCATTACAAGGGCTTTCGCTTGTCTACAAAACCGAAGCAGCCGGTACAGTAGCGAATGATGTGGCAAAGAACTTTCGATGTTTCGACAAAAAATCGCGATGCATGACAACCTATTGTGTTAGTCTCGCGCTGTGAATAATAAAAAAGTCAATAAACATCCCAAATACACCAACCAGCCACACACATTACACTAAAACGAGGGGGGTTTCTTAAGGATCAGCAGTGCCACGGGCACATTGACAAGTGACCAGGAGAGGGTCCAGCAAAAGACCCCACGGACTTGCACACGAAGTCATTGCCGCATTGGGAAAGCCGCCATGAAGTCGTGCAGACAAGGCCCGGTGTGTCTTCTCCCGGTCAAGTAGGCGCCGCTAGAGAAGATCTCGACCCACTCCATGTTCGGTTACCCATCCCGCCCTCAATCGAACCCTCTAAAATTACACCTCGGCATCAGGGACTGTCGAACGGAAACCCAGCGAATAACCTAGAACCAATTGTGCGCCCGGAAGTCATGACTCAATTGGGCGGGAGCAGGGTTGACGGGGCGTTAGGCCGGCGCACACCCCTCCCTTTCTCCCTCCCTCCCCCCACCACCACCACCACCACCCTAAGACTGAGTCTGACATCCCTGATGCAGTGATTAAATATTTATCGAGTCCAACTGTCTCTGCTAATAACAACATCGGCTCAACAGATGGATCCCTCTTCGGCAATGCTCATTTACATGCGACAAGCAAACACGCACAGCAAAACAATCATACAAGCTATGAGAGTTACGTTGAAAATAATGTTGTAGCGGCAAAAAAGCATGATTTTAAAGCAAAGCAAAAGAAAAAGCATTGAAAGGTGTTAGTTAGGTTTGCTAAAAATGCCCACAAAATGGCAGTAAAACGATAAGCAGACGCCGTGTCCTCAGGAGGTTACTAACTAAGGCAAACTGGTTGTAAAATGAGGGGAAAAAGCTACTGACTCCCACAAAAAACACTGACATGTGGACGTCGAGGCATCGTAAAATATTTCAGCTCTCAGAGCAAACTTGCTACCTCCCCCCCACAAAAGTCTTTTTAGCAAAGAAAAAACGGCACCTAGGCCAAAATCATAACTAAGGTTGGGGGTTAGGAGTAACAAGTTTCTTGGCGCATTAGCAAATAACGAGAAAAGTAGTGTGAAAACGCATCTCCCAAGAATGAAGCGATCAATACTCCGGAAAAAAAACATGAAACGTTCCTGTGTACAAACATTTGCCAGAACTGAGTTACTTTCAATCAGTCAGTCACGATGTAGGCCATTTGGCAGGTTCAAGTTTCCGAGCGCAGCACTCTGACGGTCTTGCCAATTACTAGTCGATACAACATTTAGATTTGTTATCGATTAATTCGTGTGGTATATTGATTTTTCCAAAGACTAGACAATTAGCTATAGAGCAATGTGAGACTGAAGGCCTCTGAATTAATCATTAGATCGGAGAGAATGTGGATAGGGAGGGGAGGGGGGACGGCAAGGAAAAAAAGGGTGACCAACCTCACATCGGCGATTTTGGGCACGGGGGCACGTAGGGTGGCGCAGAGCTTGTCTGTTTGGAAGTAGAAGGGGCAGTCAGGCAGTTCCTCCGAGACGAGGGTCAGCATGCCGATTAGGCGATCGAGTGTGCCCGGCACGACCGCGGGCAGGCGTGTCCTCAGACCCGGAGCCAACGTCAGCCATTCCGGCGGCTTGAATTCTGCAGGCGACAAGGAGAGCAGATGTCATAGCGCGCATTCAAGCTACGGAGGCTCAAACACAGACAACGTTCGTTTAAGATGGACCGAATTCAGACCACAGGCATCAATGCTTGTGACACGTAATTCAACACAAGTAATGGTTGAAGCCCCTCGGAAAATTCCGTCCCAGTCAATCTACATAATTTAGCCAATGGGATACAATGCCATCTGTGGCCTGCCTTTTTGCATGTATAACAACCGTTTAAGGCTGCCCAACAAGCTGGAAATACGTGCACTCGACGCGTTGTAGCGAAGAAAAACGAATGCGATAAATTGGCTATAGACCACTGCACAGGGGAGCCACATTTCTAGGGGATAAATGAAAAAGGGCAAGACAATGTTTTAATAATCTGACGGCAACACAAAAAAGCCGAAAAGGAAGAAAGAGTCTGAGACTCATAAAGGATAATACACTCGAGATCATCGCAAACGCACTTTTCCTCGAATATAGCAGCACGATTTGATGTGTTTCAAATGGTGGACGAGTGTAATCTGCGTTAGACATTGTTGTGGTGATCTACACGGAAAACCCAGCCTCAACCCACAAAAAAACCAAAGACGGCGGTCCGAAAAATTGAACAATCGTTCTGCTGAAAGCGGTACGGGGTTGGTGAGTGCATTTACAGCAGATTCCACCAAAAACAGCAGCATTGTTTTAACACGTCCGCAAGTTGTAGCTAGGATTAAAGCTGGGCCAAATAATGGCGCAAAACTACAATGAAAAACCACGAAACAAGGTTTGCGAATGATTCCCATTTGCATGCTTTTTTCACGTCAACCATCAATTCAAATGGTACATGGGTATGAAAAAAGGTACTAGCAGTTCTGTCTAGAAGGAATCAGGAAGGAAGGAAATCGTAAAACATCAGAGTGCGGGGGTGAGGGCCATTAACAGTCCGACGCGCGCACCGCAGACAGACGGAAACCGCAGCGGGGCCCGATTCCGACATCCGCGTTTTTGTTTTTGGGCACAAACGGGATAATCAATGGAGAGTGTGACACCCACGCGACCAACAATTGATACTTCTGGTTTGCTTAGACAACTACTTTTAATACTGCTGGGCTAAATTGGATACCCCCATTTCTCCAGCTGTTTTCCAGGCCAAGTGTTAGTATACACAGTGGTTCCTTATTTATCAACGGTACCCCAAGAACTCCCTTCAGCCCGCTGGTGCTCTTGCTGTAAATTACCTAAAGAATTTATGGAAGGCTCCACTTGACATTCAGGTCTCAGTCGATGTCAAGTTCCCCTCAAGCATTTCAAGCACCACGAAATCGCACGCCGTGGCAAGACCTCATAATGCGGCAAGACCGATTTCCGTTTTTCTAGTGTACATGTGACCACACAATTTGTGGTTCACTTGTATAAAAAGGGCAATGAGATGTGGACCATTAATTGGCAAATGGTTTGGGCCTTCTCGAAAAAGGGGTTTCCAGTTATTTGCCAAATAACCATCGCAAGCACGATTAGGCCTGGAGGAAAGAGGGTGAGAGCGCGCAGCACGCTAAACTGTTACGGCAGTCTCATTTCAAAGTCACAGTAAGTGGGTAAAAAAGCACCACCCTTCAGCCAGCAATCCCAGCGGGCATTTCGTTGCGTTCCCATGAAAGAATACGACGTTTCCCAGTATTAAACCTGGCCCAAGTGGCTGTAAACGATACCGCATCGAAACTGACTTATTCGCGAGCATGAGATCGGAGAATTTCATTCACTCAAAAGACATAAAGTGCTAGTCGCACGATAAGCCTGATGTGGACCCACTGCAGAGCGAGTCTTAGCCTTTGGGATCACTAGTAGAAGCGCAAAGCAAGGCACGGGTGCACTCGTGGAAAGAAACACTTCCACAGGAAGTGAAAAGCGGGTGGTGTTTATATCGTCCACTTGGTGACACCTCGTCGCTGAGCTTCAACTCACGACATCTATTTCCTGTTAATGCGCCTCCTGTCGTCGGAAGATGTATTGGGGTTATGTTATGTTTAACTGATGGCATCAATGCAATCGAACGAATCGAATTCAAGGTATTGGTAACACGAGTGAAGACAATACGCCAGCCCGTGTTTGCTGATTGATTGTGGTACCGATCTGATTGCGGCTGGGAGGCAGTAAAGTGAACTGATAGAGCGTAGCTTAAAAGAGTACAACTAATTATTCGAATCGATGTAACGATTTTGAATATTCCTAATCGGTTGTTGTAATGTACTTAAGAGTCGCGCTATATAAATATGCCCTCCTGTCATAAGTCTTACACGAGCAAACGGAGTCATCAAAAGTAATAAAAAGCCATGTTTGTTACAAGTAGACGGTTTTGACCATAATTATTGTGGGAGGATGAATCGTGGTGGCCAGGCGGGTGCGTTCTCACACAGCCTTCGACACAGGGCTGTTATTCGCGTGGCCGAACGCTGATTGTACCCATCCCACATCCCCACACAAGTTGTTTGCGACCCACGTTGGCTACTTACCGGCTAGAGGTGTGGTCAAACGATTATAGTGAAACATACCAAATTAAAAATAGGACAACCACGTGCTTGTTTGACGCGCTCGTGATTCACCATGCTGGACCAATTGAATGTGACTTCAACCTGGGCTGTGAAAATCGTCTTTGTGCCAAAACTTTAACATTTCTCGCTTAAAACGATGTGAATCAAGCTGAATTGAACACTGGCATTTTTAGACAACTTAAATTACCAGATTGGAGCAATTTTTTCGCAAATTTAACTGCCAGCTCAGAGGCCGAGTTAAGTAGGAGAGCTTGCAGTGGCGTGAATACAACACCTCACTCCCTCGAGTGCGTTTACAGTTACGACGACAAGCGGTTGCGGAGAAAATTGACAGTAGTGGCAAGGTCGACTTAGCTAGACACGGGAAGCGAAATGACCAAGACGAGCTGGGGCAAATTTTGAAGCAGACGTAGGCGCAGGGATAGGGCGCCAAGGATTTTAAGCAAGAAAGACTAACGTGCAGTGCTTAAGTGGAGACTGCAGACGGCGCGAGTGACAGGCGAAGTAAGACATGGGAATAAGGTAGCATAAACAATCAGATGGTAAGAACACGCACTAATTAAGACAACAGGGAGTCTCGAGTACTGCCTTACTAAGTGGATGAGGTTCCTGATAATGCATAGGCTTTTACTCGTGCCAGTAGTCGGCTGGTGTGGATGCGTAGTCAAAGTAATCTGTGACAAGATACTGCACGAAGTGCTCGGAGGAGAAATAAGACAGAAGGATAGAGAGGAGCTCAGCTTATTACCAGATGGTTCAGCTCAGATATGCTTGTGTCGTCTAGCTGTGCATGCAACGTGACTTGTGAAGATGACTGAATGACGGGATTAGCAACAAGTGAGGAATCTGTCGACGTTGTAAGCCACCAAAGTGATGTGGGACAAAATTCAGAAAAAGTGCGCTAAATTCGATGCAAATTAGTTGTCCTTTCAGGAGAAATACGGGATGAATGCCTGTTACAATAGCTGTCCCAACTTCCAGACAGGACTACAATGGCCAGTGTTTAAGCTTATGGGTGGTGATGGAACTGCTAGGTGTTGACCTTCATTACTCGACTAAGCACTCCTGGGTAGAGAAACATGACAAGAAATGAGCCGAACTGAGCAGGCGAACTGAGCCACCGGACTCCTTAATCCGTGATTCGGCTTTTACGTTAGGATGAAATGGTGTTAATCAAAATGTGAGTCATCCAAAGAAGGACAGTGCTTGTTCCGACCAAGTTGTGTGTACGTGATCCCGAAGTAAACAAAAACACGAAGTCGCGAATGTGCGAATGTCGTTGACAGGTTCGCATGGTCATGCGTCACACTGGTAACAACAACCCTAATGGAGTCCACCGACACGAGAGATGGGTTACTTGAAAGCATCTTAGTGCATTGAGGTGAGGGGGCCTTCAGAACACCTACTAGTCGGAAATGTGACGTTTGACCTGGAAGTTGTCGATAAAAAACGGGTCTATCCGTTTTCATCAACGAAAACGCAGCGGCCTAACCATGACAACAAAAGATACAGAAACAGTTTCGATGCAAAGTTTAATATGAAATGTCTAGATCGCACTGATTCGGTAAGTTCACGGTAAACATTAACAGAGTTTGTTGTTATTATTATTACAACTATTTAAAAAAGCTGCATTCGAATATAAATCATTAACTAGCAGCTGCAAGGCTCCAAAAAGCCAGTGGAGGGTAGTTTTTGTAATTCTGTCATTAACTTGGGTTGGGAACAAAGGATTAACAATTTTAGATGGTCCCCTTAACAACGATAAGCTGGATTTCCAAACTACAAGTTGTAGCATAAAAACACAACAATATGCATGAAACAGCTCCCTAAAATACTTCACAAAATAAATCACATTGTCGAGCCCCAGAAAACGAAATTGGGGTACTAGAATGGCACTCCGAACCGGCCATTGCGTGGCAAATTTTGGCTACTGGACACAACTGTTTGGACAATAAACTTCGTACCTCAGTGAAGTGCTTTCTATCCCCCCTGGTTCACCTGGTACCGAAAACCCTTCTAGCGCGTTCAGCTTAAATGTGGAAAAATTTGGTTCTCACGTCGTAAACGGGACAATACGCACGCACACGCAGGGGACCAAGTAAGTAATTGGAATTTCAACCATTTACACTTGAGGAAGTTTAGTAAACTAACATACAAGTATTTTTAAGCAACAAAAGTGACGCACTTTGCGAAACAGGTTGGTAAAACCAGCAAGACTTAATCTATGCACACTAGAAACCCAAGATACACCGAAAAGCGAACTTGAAAACAAGAACGCGAAGGGCCGGGTTTAATCTAAAACAACAGGCAGGCTAACTCGGTCATCATAAGTGAATGGCGTTGGCTACGTTGAAGTAATTCCTTCAAAATACTTAGACCTTTTGGCTTAATTCAGAACCAAATCACGCATTATTTTGAACACAGCTGATGGTTTTGGGTCCACTTTAACACGGCGTGGCAAAACGGACATTTTCGATGTATTTTCTAATGGCCAAGAATTCCACTAAGGCCTCACAAAGACATTGGCAAGGTCTGCGGTGCCGAATGCTTAACAGAACGGGTATGTCAGAATAGGTTCCAATATCGGAACTGGGGAAATCGACATTCACAGTTCGCATTGTCAAATAGCCATGTCAGAGATGGTAGAGAAGCTACATTTATACCACACAACATAACTCGAAGGCATCCCAAATGCCTTGAGCACGCAAGAATAGAAAGAAATTTACCTAAAACTAAGGAGCAATGAAATCGTCCCTTTCGTAAATAACTCCGAGGAACCCAACGAATAATCAAGGTGTTTACCGTCAGGTATTAAGGAAACAAAAGTGGCCAAAATTGGCAAATCGCAAAGGATTCGTGCCACACAAAGAAACGGCCAAGGCTCGCACACAATGCAATAACTCCTGGATTGTTACTGTTGCCTGGATGGGACGAGGTGTCGCATTCTCTCCACACAGCCCTGAAAACGCACCATCAGGTTACCAATTACTTGGACATTTGCAAACTCTTTAAATGACATAACAGCAACCGATGACGATCATGACATACAGTCGCAAATTGGCTCGCTTTTGGGACAATAAAGATAAGGATTTTCTAAAACACGAAAGCATTAAATCGACAGAAAGATGGCAAAGTACCTTCGGATAAAAGGAAGAACAAAATCTCCTTACCGATTCATAACTTGAGGCCGAGATTGGTGTTCACATTCACGGAATAAGTAGGAGGAGATTTGAATTTACAAAATATGGTGTAAGCGGTATATTCTGTCAAAAAACGCGGACTAACAAGACAAAAGGCGGATATTCTGAGAATACTCGGAACCTTTTGAAGCCAGTTACTGAATGAAAGCGAGGAGAAGGCGAAGCTCTTTTCAGGAAATGGCAACTTGATAAAAAGTCCACAATGAGTCAAACTGGTGCTTGCGACGAAATAGAAAACAAGAAAAGCCACCAGCCCTTCAAACGGCTCACAGTTAATTTTTTAGGCCTCACGGACGTGAATTCTTGCTTTGGAATTAAAAACGGACAAGCAAGCCCAAGGTAAAATCGAGGTGCTGGGCTCTACGAGTGCAATGTCATTTTATCGAAGGGTCGCCCAGTCTGAGAGACTTGCGGGGTACCTCTACGAGTGTTCTGTTGATGACCAGCACAATGGGTGTGTCGAAAGGAACACCGCAGGAGCAAGTTAACAGTAACCTTGGGCACATAACTTATGGCTGTAGACATTAATTTGTGAATACGTAATACTGGAACATACAAACACAGAATGCCCATTGACAGTTGGAACCCGGGACAAGTAAACAGTTCAGGAGTGTGCATGCTAACCGGCGCTTTGGATAACCGCGCGTATTAACTTGTAAAGTGTGGGGCACATACCTTACGTTGCCATGTCACCCATCCAGAAAACCTTATACGCTGAAGAAGAGGGGCCGTGTTTAAATTAAGATGGCTACGATCATGGTAGAATTTATGGGTTAGTTGGGACTACCTGGGAAACCGCAAAAGTCTGGAGGCAAAGACAGCGAAATACATCTGGGGAAGTGCATATTTAAAAAAAGCGGCAAGGAAAATCAGGAATTTAAAAAAAATAGAAAAAAAAAACAACAAGCCGGTACGTCGGTCATTAAGTCTTAAAAACGGCGAGGGTTGATGTGGACCTCGATCTAACTGGTTTAGGCTTATTGTGAAGAGAGACACGAATAGTCGCCGAGGGGGGCAGACTAGTCCTGTTCTGAAGGATGCCTTCGACGTCGCCCATGGGTATCATCGTTGGTGTCATCGACTTGGTGCGGAGCCTGCGCGCACCTGTGTAGGTCATTCGGCGGTACAGACAGGGTCCGCACACCGATGAGGCTATCAGGGGGCTCGCCAGAGCCAACTCGATCACCGCGTCGCGGAAACTGGGCAGGAACAGGAAGAAGACCCAAAAGCTGCTTGAAAAGTAGATCGAGAGGAGGGAGCTGAAGAAGCGGGAAAGGTGAATCAGCCGCTGTTGGTATTCGATGGAGTAAAGCGACGGCCTGACCGTAGACTCGTAGCGCATTAAGACGACCACCGCGAGAGGAATCATCAGGAGAAGAAAAGCCGTATTGATTGCCAGGTGACCTATAATTCGGCGAATATCACCGCGACTCGAAACGTCGATACCGCATTTGCGTTGCTTGCGTTTAATATCGACGAGCTGACAGCAGATGATTAGGTTGCAGACGACGATTATCACAGTGGGAATGGTGTAGGAGCCAAGGACGTAAATAAGCAAAGTGTACGTGGCACCTGGTAGGGCGGGGTTAGTCAGTGTGCACGAGGTCTGATTAGTCGTGTTGGAATTTACAACATCGTAGAAAACAAGCGTGGGCGAGAACAAGACCAGGCCGACGACTGAGACTCCGATGATGAGAGCCGCGGAGCACGACAGGTGGCGGTCACCTCTGAACTGGAAGGGCAGGCAGACCGTCCGCACACGATCGAGACCGAAGACCGCTAATGTCATTGTGGCGATAAATCCGCTGGAATCCGTCACGTAGGTGATCACTTTGCACGACAGAGACGATACTTGATCCAACTTTAACCTAATGCGATAGTGTGTAAGCCACCAAAGACCCCTGCCAACAAAGTCGTCCAGTAAGGTGTCAAACACGAGAATGACAAGAAAGTAGAAAGTTATGGCGATGGCATACTGGTTAAACCGACCGGGCGTGCGTTTGTGAAGACGACAGAAAATTACCAGCGAGAGTACATTCCCAATGACACCGTGCACGAAGATGAAGGGCGAAAAGTAGGCTCGGAAGACGAGCACAAGGAGCTGGGACGCATCGTGAGGGTCAGTTTCAAAAGACTCGTTAAAAAGGCCGCCATTGTCGTGTCGATCGAGCCAGGCCATTTCGTTCAAATGCGGCATAAAGGCAAGATGAAGGGAGAAAAGGGAATTTACGTGCCCTTTTCTGAATGGTCAGTGATGGCCGATCCAACCGATGTCGGCTCTCCTGTGTGCGGGTTGGTTCACGCACGTGTGCGAGCGTGTTACCGTGAGCGCGCAAGCAATTCTCGTCCAATCGACACCCAGTACTCCCCGGAAGGTGGACTGTTTCCAGAGTTGCCTTTGTTTGAAAACTGGAATCGAGTTAGGAGCGGGTGAGGACACGCGCCACGACTATTGGACATGACGATTTACAACCAATGTGTTTCGCGTTACGTGTGTGAACGCACACACACGGACGTGTGGGCGAATATTTTAATTTTTGGACACGCATTTAGAGGTCATCGTGCGATTCAAAAAGCCTTTAAAAGCCTAGATACGAAATTGTGTTGTGGAAAAGGTAAAAACAGGCCCAATAAGGAATTGCGTTTTTTCGCTTGCATATCTGCTTTGGCCGGTAACTACAACAGGCGCATCTCTTATTGAATGGCCGTAGACAAAACGCAATAGCAAATACCAAGGTAATTATCGGATTTAAATAGTAGCATAAAAAGCGGTATTTGTGGGAAGTACTACTTCTCAACTTTGAAATACCATAAGCCTCATTCATTAAGCATACCTAGGATTCAGTAAGATTTAACAGGTGTAGCTACGTGGAAAGCAGCTGGCACGCTAGATACGTAACAATCAACATTCCATGAAAATGCCAGCAAGCGTTAATGTCAACATTATGCAGCGGATTATCCTAACACCCATAACAATTAATCACACCTAAAATGCCCAATCAATGCGGAGGCAATTACGGCTATGCTCAAAAGACCATAAAAAGTGAACTTGGAAAAGGGAGCCCATAAAAAAAGCAGCGGAGGTCACATATGGAGCTTTAAAACGCTAATACAGTTGTAGTATAACAGATGGGGCTTTCTTGTATGCGGTAACACCTAGGAGGAATATAGAAGGTAGGAAATCAGAGCTTATGAAATCTACATTACTAAAACGGAGTGCAAATGTACAACGCCTGACATGAACGTCGATGGGATCCCGTAGACGCGACGACAAATTTGTGGACATTCTGTCCACCAGAGCAACAGGAGAATTAGGCTTACAGGGGCCTTCTAAATCTCCATCCACTGGAAAAGAGTATTAGTTCGACAAAGACCGCACTAGGATGCATCCAGAGCAAAAAATCCCAGTCTCCATCGATTAGGCTGCGTGGTCTCGACAACAGCAAATAAACAACGAACAACTAATACTACTAATTGCCTGGACATAGTTAAATATAGTCAACAAGAGTAGAGACCGGGGTATTCGGACTAAATTTACCGCAACTTCGAGCAGACTTGAAACAGTATGGGTGTTGAAACACCTCCAATGGCCGAGACCAATGGGAAAGACAACAAGTCGCAAATTATCTGAGGGGTGTTTGTCGATGGCTTTACCAACGTTAGAATTGCAGTTGATTTATTTAGCATGCAGAAAAGTCCAGTGGCAGCCAAATTTGTTTACCCAGCCAAGTAATGGAAAAATGTAGCGTAAAATCGAGAATTTGTGTCGTGTATTCGACTGTCGATGTTGCTGATTCAACTGGTAATGTCCCCGGTGTCTGAGAGGGAGTTTTCGGCGTCAACATCGCGCCTGGCGCGGGCGGTGGCCGACACTAGGATCGAACATGCACGAAAGCGAGGAAAAACAATGCATTAGTGTGTTTACAATTAACCAAAGTGGAAAAACGCTCGACTGGAAGGAGTCAGGGGAGACGTGGAATTATGTTTTTCACTAGGACAAGGCATAAAATTGTGCAAGATGTACCCAAATGATCCGTGAATGCCAATCACTGGCTAAGAGTTGTTCTCTCTGAAGTTGGACCACTTCGGTTAAACCCTGAAAATTTCATGTATTGACTCATATCTGTGCGCACCTAATTACTGAATTCGCGGTCCCTATGCACGGCCCAACTAACACAGCATAAAATTGTCCACCAGATTTACCCTCTCCCCTCTAACTCTGAACTTCACTTGTGTTGGGAGATGTCTAAGTGCCTCTGCGGCATAGACACTGAACACGTCCCATTCACCGAAGCCTTCCGATTGACGGGACGGATGTAGTTGTCGTGACTCGTGTTTATTCAACCCCTTAATCCGGTCGCTCCACCTACTACACAGGAATCCCCTTTTCGCAGCATGTCGCCAGCTGCACGAACCCTCAACTCCCCCTTCATTAGAACGAATATTTATCTTGCAGTATTCTCGCGCCTAGGTCTCGATGTTAGCGCATGTTGGATTCACTCAAGCCCTCCGATTGATGGGACGGATGTAGTTGTCGTGACTCGTGTTTATTCAACCCCTTAATCCAGTCGCTCCACCTCCGACACAGGGTTCCCCTTTTTTCGCAGCATGTCGCTAGCCGCGAGGATCCTCAACTCCACCTTCATTAGCACGAATATTTATCATGGATTATCTTCACACCTGGGTCTCGATGTCAGCGCATTTATGACCCACACATCCGAAATACAAATACACACGCGCAGACCCCACACACGACACAACGACACCAACGAAGTTGAGCTCTGAAGTAAACGGTTGTGTCCACGTCCTCCCCGATCTTTTTCGACATCGCAGGAATCAGGGAAGCGTAAACGGGCCAGAGTTAATTTAGTGGCCCCGGCGTGGTTCAAGACTACATGCTGGGGCCCACAACATAGTTGAGGACCAAGGCTGGGCGACGCAAACTAGTCCCAGTCGAATCGCAAATGTGCAGGGAAAGATTCGATTTTGCATGGTGTCTAGAGGATGACTGTTATTTTGATAAGTTTAAAATACCGCAGAGAGGATTCCTGACAGGAGTGCAGTCGTGCAACTGCAAATACACAGTAAAATGCGTTGTCGAATCTCATAAACAAGAGCGAACACAGGATTATAAAAGCACTGACAACAACTAGCATACCTTCCGGCAAACCATCAGACTATTAATCATTCCTACGCTCCAGCTACTGCGTGTGACTCGTTTTTACACCATAAACCAGTCGTCTGGGAAGTGCTGATAGCCACCCCTAAGCCATTAAAAACGCTCCAGCAATTTGTAAGGAATGAAACATTAGTGAGATCAATTGGGTCTTAAGAAAAACAGCTGGAATTTGCAGCCCCACACGACTGCTGTAGATCGTACATCGGACTCCTATGATACACGACCAGAGCACTTATTCCAATCTGAAGGCATCAGGTAACAACATGACTGAGTCAAACAAACGTTGTTTTGTGTAGTAAATTGCCTTTCAAAAAATACGCGTCGTTTTTTAACCGTTAAAAGTACGTGCGAGGTAAACAAACGAGACTTAAGCAAATTACAGTTTGGTCGAGGGAGCAGGCTTCCAAAAACCACAAGTTATATGCCTACGACAGACTATTTTCGGCAAAAAAGTCACCATACTTCGTGCTTTAGGAAGGATTAAAAAGTTGGCCGCTTGGTAGGTGGCACAGAAGCCCGACTCTGGTACTCGAAAATTGTGACTTTGTGCAAAGCGAGGCTCTAAACATCCATCACCGTGACTCGGTTTAGGTTTTTCATGATAAAAATGCTGAAAAAAGCCTTGCTTCTTTATAATTAGAGGCAGTCCAAATCGATTTGTGGCAGGGTCGAAGCAATGCCTTCAAATACTCCTCACAACACATTGGTATAATCACATGAATAGACTTGAAGTGTCCATTTTTGTAAATTGAAATTTTATACCAATGGGTCTCGCGCGACGGTAAGGACGTCTTTTGATTTGCCTTCGTTCCTGGTCTAATTTCTGAGTTTGGAGTGTGAAATTTCATACATCAACAGTGCGGATTAGGGAGCCCTTATTAGGTATTATTAAATTGAGGTCATCGTGGCAAACAAGAAGCTTTCCAAAGGGGCACATGACCACCTACAGGCTAACCTCTGGACTCAATCGAATTGAATTTACGAAAATTAACAGGAGCCAAAGTGGGCACAGGTACCGCCAAAGCGCCAGAACTGTTCATTCACGCAACACGCGTTAAATAGGTGTGGAAGTCAGCGAAACTAACCGCAAAAGGTGCAGTTATGCACGACCTCGAGTTCGACACACTTTAATCGACAGGACTGGAGATGCCTTAGGTGGAACTGTCTGTTTGACTTTGAGATCTGGGTTTCATCAAAAGATTAGTTGTTTACTTAAGAAGGGAGGAATGAGAAGGCTCGATTTTATTTCCCCCAAATTAAGGCGGATTTTATGTATGGGAATACCATCCATTACTGTGACTGCACATCCCAGACTGATATAAAAACTTGTGACGCGGTTTACTACTGTCTGTGCACAAAGTGAGCAGTCTCCAGTTTGTGGGACTTCACTCTAGCAAGGACAGCTCAAGACCAACAGGCAAAGAACGTGAACCCGGTTTAATTCATATACACCCACACACACACATTTATGAGTAGTTCGAACCCACGGAAGTTTAACCACCTACAGATTTCTACCTCTTTAAGTAGTAGGCAATTGAATTACTGGATGAGGATACTAAATCACACAGCGGATTTCCTTCAACGACTATTCTGGTAACTTGAGGAAATTGCATTGACACGTGGGGAGTGAGATTGTGAAATCTTGGCTCCACGATAAACGCAGGAGCAGCAAATCCCTGTAGCCCTTCATATTGAATTGGACGTTAGAACGGCGAGACCGGTAAAACCAAAGGCGACCGTAAATGGCCATAAATACATCTTTTAAAACCAGGAAACCGTACCCGCCGAGTAGTCCACCATGTTGTTGTGTGCGCAGCTCGAGTCGCGTTTGTCCGGGAGGTCCTTGAGCGACTGCAAGACGCCTCGGACGAAGTCGTGGTCGTGAATCTCGTCGGCCCAGAGGGGTCCCGCGATGGCGAACGCACTGCCGCACTGGGGACACGCGCGGCCCTCCACAGGCGGTCCCCTCGCCGGTGTGAAGGTCTTCCCGGCGGCGGCGGCGGCGTCTCGCTCACTGACGGCGCCAAGACGCTGGAGGTAAAATGACTGAAACGAAGAAAACAAACAATACGAATGGAAAAAAAAGGGGGGAATTGCATGGACTGCGGGCAAAGAATCGCGCTGATTCACGTTAATCCGCTCTGTCACAGCATGATTACTAAATATCAAGTGTGTAACTTAAATGCTAACGATTTTTTCAGCAAACTTAGTTAATTTACAAATATGGAGAACAACGAACTTAGTCTTGGAAATATTGTCCATCATTTTCAATGACCTTGTACAATCTCTCAGGTAACGTAACAATGCCATCGCGAAGCAAACTTGCAGGCTTCGAGGCATTGAAAACATCGACGAATTCACGCACATAGCCCAGCGTTTTGAACTGTTTGTACACTAAGGCGTATTGCTCCAGTGACCGAAAAGATTGCAGTCGGATGGTTTATATGACGCGTGTGGGAGAACTTCCCACCCCAAGTTCAAGACGGTCTTCCTAGTCATGCGAGAAACGTCAGGTCGAGTGTTGTCATGCAGCAACAGCAGCAGTATAACTTGCCCGCTTCCTTCCCCAGTAAACGGCATTTTCTGATTAAGTTCTTTGCTCACTTTGTTCTACTTTCGGCTGTAGCATTCCGTAGTCGTTTTATGACCAGTTTTTAAGACCTTCTAAAAAAATATACCCTTCATGTCCTCCCACCAGGTACACATGAGAGCCTTCTTCAAGTGGGTCTCCTGTTCCCCCGTCGATGTACTGAGTAGCTGCCCGTGATCTACCCACGACACCTTTTTTGCGTTTGGGATTCTCGTAAACAAGATGAGCTTTATCACCCGTCACAGTTTTCCACAAGAGGTCCATTCACAGCTTGGTGTCGGCGGAAAAGCAGTGAAAGGCATATGTTCATGCGTTGACCTAAGGTTGTGTTCGGTCAACACGTATGTGGGGAGACCCAACTTCCACGTTTCGCATTTTTCCATTTCAATGTGCAAACGCCTGGAAATCGCTGTTTGGGTGATTCCTAAGTGGTCTTCAAGATCTTGCTGCGTTTGCGCGGAGTCTTCATTCAGGAGAGCTCGCACTTACGCATCTTAAACTTTTCGAGACAGTCCAGAGTGGGGCGGCTGGTCACTGAGATCGAAATGACCACTTCTTCACATGTTTTAGAGGATCTTTAAAAGCATTTTTCTCTGTTGGAATTTGCATAAAATGTAGTGTCCCCGAATTCGCTATGTATCAGTTGCCATCACCGTAAACTCTGCTATTCTGATAGTTTATTTAACTCACGTAGACTTGTCGTTCGGTGTTTTGAAACCTTACCACAAAGTACCGCGAAAGCATTTCGATTTTAAATATAACTTTAAGCTCGAAGGAAACTGTAAATATCAACTGACACACATAGTACTTTTGTTAATCCAAATTGAACGTTCTGAACCATCAATTGGTATCGACTACCTAGCGATTTTAACTTCAAGGCGGAAAAATCTTGGAAATGAGTTACCTCTTCAAACCTGCTGCTACATTTGTTGTGTTTCGACCTGTTTGACCTCGGTGTGCTTAGGCGGACGAGAGGGAACCTCACTTTCGGTAAATCAGATGTTGTTTACAATGAGTTGACCCTCACATACAGTACCTTCCTGTGGCCAGTGAAGCAATACCGACATCAACGAGGCCAAACATAACCTGAGCTACTCTCTTAGAATAATTAAAGACACCGTTAGTCCTTTGTCCATCTTGTCAACTCCATCTTCGAGCAAAGATAAGGCAGCAGTTCACGAAAAAAATAAAACGATTTCTATGTCACTAATTTGCTTCTTCATTCCTAGATTTTCAGGTTAAAACACAGCCACAAAGTTTGTCCAAAATAAAACTACATGACATGCTGCGGCCCTGCCCTGATATACAATGCAGAAACATGGAACAACAGTGGCAATTAAAGCCACTACCAGATTCACTTCACATCGGGGACCCAAACTGCCAATAGTGACTTGAATTAGGCCCCCTTGTCCCTTATAAGCACACTTTATAGACAATCTCCTCAACATTAACTAAGCGTCTTGTGTAAGAAAGTAGCATTGCCACAGAACGTCGGTGCGCACAAGCTGTTGCCACCGCGAAACAAACAAGTAAAGCATTGACCACCTGGAAGTAATCCAAGCGATTATTGAGAAAAAAATGGCGGAGCTACTGGCAACGACAGACCAAAATGTCAGTGGCCAATCTGCGTGAGAGGGACAGACACAGCAGTTCCCAATACATTATGGGGTCAGATTGCAGTAGCATTCACAGAAACCCAGTGGGGAACGAACGCAGGCACCTCAATGGACGCGCGGACATAAAATAATGTTGCACAACTATACCCCAGCCTGATGCAGGAAACACTGGTGGAGGCGGCGCACATCGAGCGTAAAATATGAGCCACTTAGAAATACTTTTGCGGTCAGACCAGTGCAATAAATCAAGTCCCGTATAGTGTGATTTTTGCATAGCAAAAATGCGAACCATGGTCTTGACTCCACTGAAGACCAACGCTAACCTTCGATTGGAAAAATTGTGGGATGTTCCGATCGGATAAGCAGTAGTGGTGTACAATCCGATTTGCCAAGTTTTATTAACAGACATTGACAGTCAGCTCGATTTTTGCGCTCGCCTGAACACATAGCGGCCAAGATCGGAAAGTCCAGGACGACAAAGCAGGAACAACAGCGGCTCAAGCGGTTGAGTATTTACACAAGGCAGTGGGACTTTGGTGCATGGAATAACTGGAAGCAAAATTGGTCCACGTAACAGGCTTCAGGATTACTTCCTGAACATAAGGCCCGGTAAAGTATCCAAAGAGACAAACCAGGGGAAAGGAGGCTAACAATTTATCATGAAGATGTCCTATCGCACGTAAATGAAATCGACTATTTGAAAATACGAAACATGTAGCAAAGTGGCACAGCTGATCGTCAGGCTGGTCTGATGTACACGCTTCCAGCAAAGTCAAGGAAAGCAACACATGGGCTTACCTGGCATCCAGTGCAGGAGTAGACGAGGGCCATGCGAGACGCGACTCGCTTCACGCCAGAAGCGCTAGTCCGAACGCGCACAAAAACACGCGCGTAAAAGTCAATGGATAGGGAGAGAAGTGGCTCGATGATTTTGTCATGCCGACTTGCCGCCTGCTGAAT